TTGAAATAATCCCAGTCTGCTATGTTGTAAGCACTATTTTCTCATTGATCACAAATGTCCCAAATGTCCCCAATGTTAAACGGAAGAACCTTAAGCTTGGCCTTTGCATGCAGGTGACAGTTTAGCAGATGAGGAAGGTACAATGTCTGCATTTAAGATTGTATTTTATTTCTTTATCTGTAATTGATTGGGTCTAGTGTAATTTTCCAGTTGAATGGTCGCTCTCACAGTTATTGTATGACTTTGGCTGTGATTGGTCCCCGTATAAAGTGCATGAATGCTCATGGTGGTGCTCTGGGAGGGAGGGCAGAGAGCAGGAGCTCACCTTTCATGATGCATTGCACAATCTTAACAGTAATAATGAAATAATGATGATTGCAAAAGAAAAGCGAGGGAATTAGCATCGTGAAAGTAGATTGTTTTGGGCTGTTTTTTTTCTTTGTCTTAAAGGCATTGCTTTTGTCAATGTGGTCATATTACTTTAAATTGGACTAAATGTACCTATTGTGCCTTTAGTTTTTTTTTTTTTTACAATCTACATTGGCCGGAGCTGAAGGTCATCTGGTCTGTCTGGGGTGATCTCGGCTTAGTACCGGTCTTAAGTAACTGGTCCTTAGTGATTCTAAGTCATTTAGTGATTACTTTAAAACCTGTTGAACCTCACTGATCCTCCTCCTGCAGGTGGTGGCTTCACAGGAAGCTGGCTGCTTTGTCAACAAAGACACAATCGTGGTCTTTCAGAGGAGGCTTCAGCCAAAGTGGGGTTAAGTGTCTTGCCCAGGGACACAACTGAAGCAGAGATCAGTGGGTCAGTGACATCAGGTGACATGGGTCATGGGTCCAATAAATGATAGAAACTGGCAGAAAAGGGCAACAGAACTACAGAGAAGATAAGCTCAGATTGGTTTTATCCTGTATGTGACTCATCCTGCAACACTGCGAGGGCAACCTCCAGATGTTCTAGATGCTCAGCTTGGAGAGGAGTACCGCAGCCGGAAGATTTTACTGATAGTGCTTGTTATTGTGTGAAGGAAGCTCGGAGCACCTGGAGGAAACCCACCCTGACACAACACAGAACCTGCATCCTTCTTTCTTTGTGGCATGGATGTAAGGAATGTAAGCAACACATGTGTAGGCTACCTGATGGATACTTGATCGGTAACTGAGTGGTTAGCACGCTCGCTTCTTCGTAAGGAGGGGAGTTTGCATGTTCTCCCTGTGTCTGCATAGGTTTCCACCAAAACACACACAGTATAATAGGCGGAATCCTCCAGCTCCGATAGCATCAACATCTGGAGATGGAGTAGGCAGGCGCTGCACTATAGCGACCACTGCTCCTCACAGATGTTCAGGATGGGTCATGCAGAGGACAGATTTCCCCACAGGGACAATAAGGTGAAATTCAACTCAATATTCTCTACATTTTGATTTCCTGTCCCAGATATAGAACCGCTAACAGCGTACCACAATATAGAACCACTAACAAATTTTATCAGAAGAAAATTCTAATTTTCTCCTGATAGAAAAGCCTTGTGTGAACCACAAACACCCTGCATTCGGTGGAATAATCTGTTATGTTAGCAGCCATTACTGCTTCAGCCTCCGGAGTGAAGATGAGTTTGTTAAAAAAAAAAGGTCTGGCTGACCTCACCGCACTTTGCCTGTTCACGCTGCGCCTCCCATTCCCTGCACTCATGATTTTTTTTTTTACCTCCACAAAGAAAAGAGCAATTCTGGGACCACTTTTTACTGAGATTTTCAGCCGGAGTCAGTGAGAAACAGCTCACATGCGTTTGGAGAGAGCTGGGGTGTGACATTCAAACAGAAATGTTTGGTTCATTAATGCAGAGCAGCGTGGCTCCGACAGTGACGAAAGGTGCATTAATAATGTAAAGGAAAAACATCAGATCTCGGAGTCAGAGCTGTGCAAAGCTGGGGTGACTCCTCTGAAGGACACAGGCGCAGCGTGACAAAAGTGTTATTAAAGCAGGAAGATCTCAGCCCAAACTGTGAGAGGTGAGGAGAGGCGTGACCGAGGAGAGCTGTGGAGCTTTACTTCAGACAACAAAGTCACAAACATACACCAACAGTTCAGCATCTTGTTTAAGAAAGACATTATATTTATTAGGCAAAAGAAAAACAATTTAATTCTTTGTGCCGATATTTTTTTTTTAACAAAAATATGAAAGAGGATTTTTGTTAGCCACTTCACTGGTCTATTATTCCTTTACAATAGGTAATAGTTTCAATTATGAGTAATCCATGAAACAGCACTCATTCTTCCTCATCATCTAGAATAGTTTGATTGCATGCGCCATTATAAGTAAGTAAGTTCATAAAGTAGCGATATGTAAGATTTTCATGTCAAGTCATCTTTAGATGGTCCTTATCTGTTAAAAGGCAATAATAAAACATGCTCTTTTCATATACTTTTTAACTAATATCTGTAGTTCAGCCGAGATATTAGAATTTCAAAAATAGTTTTACAGCCCCTATATCTTGATATTGTTTTGATTTTGATGTCCTGCCCTCCACCGTTTTGCCAGAACTCACAGGATCGAGCTAATCTCACTGGTAAAGTAACATGTGGCTGCAGGACTAAAAAAGGTATCATTATGATTCTCAAAAATGATAAAACAAAACCTTTTTGAAAAAGGTGTTGGTTATAGATTTGGCAGTGGTAGGGGTAGAATGTGCTTCATTCTTGCTACAGTATGAAGCACACGCGCTGACCACTGTACCAGCATACCGCTGATCATTGCAGTGATTTTAAAGGGACAAATGTGGTGATTGTGCCCCTGCTTCTCCCGGGCTGCCCATGGTCATTTGTTCTACCATGTGGTTACAGTATCATAACGTAACACTTTATAATTCTATTTTATGTATTTGTTTATCTGTTTAGGATTGTTGTGTTACAGTAGGTGCTGTAAATATACTGGATTGTTGGGCTAATATCCATCTGTAGTCCAACAGTCGCACAAACAAACACACACTCATTAACCTTACACACACCTGTTCTGCAAACTAATGTCTATACAATTAGACACATACTTTGCTTAAAGATCAACTAAACACCTGCCTTACTCCGCCCACATGCACATTTGAAAATGTTCTATAAAAAGGGCGTTGCCTGGAGGACCAAGGGACAAGAAGGGGGGCTTAGATCTAGGCGTGGTCTGGACAGTGATTGACAGCTCGCTTGTCACACGCACACAAAAAAACAGTTATCTTTGCGGCTTAAAGCAATAGTTTACACACCGGAAAGTCTCATCTAATTTATTTTTGATCCACCAGACAACTCGCTACTGGGGCGTGTGTGAGACTTGGATGGGTTTATACCACGGGCACAGAGAGACGGACGTCACACATACCAACTGACATCAACCATCACTCCAGAGCCAATGGAGAGGCCAGGACCAAATTCAATGGTAGTGTCACCAAAAATGTAGAGAGGGCGCCACACAGACGGTTTTAGGCTCAAAAGTGAGATTTTATCTAATTTGCACTAAAATGTAAAAAAAAATGACCAGGATTTGTAGGGAGCACTATAAGAAACATGTTTATGCAGTTTGTGAGTTAACAAAAAAGTTGATTTGAGGTTTTGTTGTCCTTTAAAATAGAAGAGAATATGAAAGAAGTAAAGATGAAAAAGTTACCGTTATATGATATATATACAGTATATATATAAAAAACACAAGATAAAGGTAATTCGACACAGCTCCAGAAACACAAAACCAATCTCCTCTGGTCTTGCTCTCAGGCCTGGGCTCTGTAATGATAAAGGCGAGAGGTGGAAGAGCAAAGCCTTGTGGGAGTCTGCTGATCCAGTCACAGCCTCAGAGGATTGCAGACCCAAATAACAGCAGCACTATGGATCAGATAAGGGAACATTATACAAGACAAATCAATCAAGGTCGCCCCATCCTCCTGCTGCTGTGGCATTTACACATTTAAATTCAGAACACAACACGATCCACGGTCAGGGATGTGGATCAAACTCCTCTGTGCTGTGAGCTTGTGATGTTTGATGGTATTTGTCGCTGTGTGTAAATGTTTGGAAGAGCTCTGACCTTGTCTTTTGAGGCTTTTAGAAACAGCGGTCCTACAACGCCATCTGCTGGCCACATATGAGATTACATGCCATTGGAAATTATAATTACAAGCTATCATGGATCTATTATAATAACCATACAGAAGTTAAAATGAATAGTCAAAATATTACACATACAGATTTTGTACATATGGATAAATTATGATAACTACACAGGAAAGAAAGTCTGCAGACCAGCTCTTTATTCAAGGTTTGTTTTACAATTAAATAAAAAATATATATATATTTTTACAATTAAATAAATATATTGTGTCCTTGGGCAAGACACTTAACCCCACTTTGCCCAAAGCCCCCACTTAAAGATCGAGGCTATGCTCACACTCAGAGAGCAGCCGTCCTCCTGTGGACTCACCACCTGCAGAGGGTCAGTGAGGGGCTGGTGCTGTGAGACTTGGGTGGCATCTCTGATTGCTACCTCCCTGACCCAGAAATGGATTAAAGGGTAGAAAATGAATGGATGGAATAAATATAAGATCAATAATTTGAAGGTAGAACCAAAAGGCTAAATATATACAATGATCAACGGAATACATACATAAAATACATGTCATATTTGCCTCAGGTTATTCATTGTAAAATACATCAACATAGTAAAAACAAATTGAAAACACTGTTAAATGAGAACTTGAAATGAACATATTATTATAACAAATAAAACATTGTGCATTTTTCCTTTTGAATGTTAAAAAATAAGAGTTTCCGCTGGGGTGGAGTCAGTTGGGAACCTGAGCTGGGTTTAGACCGTTTTGTTACAGGTTATTTTTACCTGACTAATGTTGTGATTGTAAATACTAGCACAAATAATAATGGTAAAAACCACTTCCAAAATGTTACAATAAATTACAGAGAGGGAAATTATGACGCAACTGAGCATTAACCATCTATAAAATCAAAGCGAAGAGTCCTTTGTCCGTTTGGCGCACCTCGCTCCTCTCCAGCCGGCATAACAGTTACATCTAAACTTTCCCTTCATCAGCGCCACCTCTCGAGACCTAAGCTGGCCCAGGACCTTATAGTCCCTCCCTCGTCCTGTGGGCCTCTTGTAGGACTGGATCTTCCACGCCTCTGGGTCCAGATGGAGGAAGACCCCGGAGCTCGGGCTGCGGCGGCTACAGCGGCCGCGGGAAGAGCAGAGCGTCTGACTGCACAGGGCGGCGGCGGAGGTCACATTCACCAGGTACGGACCCAGGGTTTCGTCGATGTAGGATTTGATGTCCTCACATTGGGCCTGAAGCAAGAGCAGACACAACATGAGGCCAAATGTGTGATTCTAAACTTCATACAGGAGCCTATTGGTTTTCACTTAACGCATTCATAACTTGTTGTTTGTCCCAACCGTCTTAAAAGTAAAATGTTGAGAAAATATCAGACCACAACATGCTGTCTTCATCTGATAGAACAATGAGTTATCTAGAGGTGCTTCAGAAATCTCAAACTCAGATTCACCCTCATGGACAGCAGCTATCCATTTTTTCTATTGATCAACTCATCTATTCAATTTTTTCATCCTTAAATGCATATTATATATACATTGAATATATGTGTTGTTTTGTGTTTTATGTGATGTGTTTGTTTTGTCCTGGACCTTGCGTCTGTAATAAGGTTGGATGATGACGATAAGTTTTAAAGGTACACTGTGTAGTTTTTACTCCCATCTAGCATTGAGATCGTGAAGTGTAATTTATGGTACTACGGAAGCTTCACAGGACAATATGTTGTCTTTGACAGTGGTCCTCAACTCCTGGTCAAACTCCTTTTTGTCCCTTATCAACCACTGTATTTCAAGATGGTGCATTGACATTGAGAGTCCTCAGCCTCATGGACATTTAGAAGTCAAATTCCAAGCCTATGACAACAATTCAAAAACATGGTGGAGGTAAATATTTTTAAAAAAAGGTGACATTTGCTATTGATTAACAGTTTTTTTTTTTTGATTTGGAGCAACTTTAGAAATTACACAGAGTGCCTTTAAACTGCATTATTGTCTCTTATCTGTAAGTACCTTCAGTGAAGCTATAAGTGGCCCACGCAGTTGAAACAAACAGCACAATTCTTACTGTGCGCTAAACAGAGGGTTTCTATGTGATTATCCAAATGATCTGAATATTCAAGGCTGTTTTGTAATCAAATGATTTGGTAAAACACGATGGATTGTTTCCTAATGGCAGCCACATTGATGGAATAAAAAGGGCAGCTGAAATCAGTGGGTTGGTGTTATGTTTAAAGATTATTCTGTGCTCTAGAATGTTCATGCATACAAGCAGACTATTCAGCTTTATCAGCTGCAACAAAACTTCCTGTCGAGTTCCGCTGATAAGCAGTTTCACACTCAGAGCACAAACACTTTGCTAACCTCTTCATGAACAATATCATATTCCACATTATCTGTCAGTCAACAACAAACTGGACGTCGATACATTTGCTGAAGAGTTTTTTTGAAAAGCGCTGACACAGCTCTTGAGTCAAAGATTTTTAATGATGTTCTTTACATTTTCTTTCAGCCCACCAGATAGAAATAGAATACAGATATTTTATTATATTTACAATGTTTAGAAATCTTGGGTTTCATATGACGTCAGGGCAGTGGCGCGAATAACAAACGCAGGACAGGACGTGACGTACCCTGGCGGTGCAGTCTGCCGGGTTTATACCATAGACTGTATATATTAACGGACAGAGTCACGCCTATCTCCGCCGTTCATAGGAGTTGGCCATGAAAAGTGCTTTCATGGAGCAATCCAAGATGGCCGCGAGTGGTCCCGCCCACAAGAAAATTGTGGAAAAATGCATCTGCGCATGCGTCAGCCGGCGCAGCTCCATTCATTTGAACGAGAGACTTCAAAAATTCACCGCAAGTAAAATGAAGCTTTGCGTAAGTTCACCCTGGTAGACCCGGCCTGCTGCCCAGCTCCTCCAGGCCTGCTCTCATCCTCGGCTCATCGCACAGCAACACCCACTTCCAGTCAATCAATAACCGCCAGGCCAGCGAGTTAAAAGCCGGAGACGCCCACTTCCCGGCATTCTCAAGCTTGCATCCTCCGCCGCCCCACCTCCTCCTTCTCCCATTTCGAGCGTGCTTGCCTGCTGCCTCTGCCGCCACCAGTGCCTAGGCCCTAGGGGGGGATTATGCGCGCGAGCAAACGCCGCGCTCAACAGCATCGCTTCGGGGCCTAGGACGCCAAACATGCTTAATCAAATAAACTTCTAATTGCATTCCCTGTTGTGGGTCTCTCCAGGATGAACTAGAGTGGACCAAAGAAATTCACCCCCCTCAGCATTGACACACATGTGGAACGGAGCTTTGGGCCGAGAGCCAACTTTTGGTCCATCCTGTAAAGACGTTTTTGAGAGGTCTGCCAACGCTATATGTTAGCATTGGCTAATTCTTCTTCTGGGTCCACCCCCATCGGCCCGGGGTGGTATTGCAAGTATGTCAGCGCACGTCATTTTGGCCACTTTTGAGCTGGGACCCGCCCCCACTGGTTTATACACGGAGATATAGTAGAAGAAGAAGCGCTGTCAAAATGCCATCTTTTTGTGCGGTGTACGCTTGTAGCAACCGCACAAATAGAGAGAAAGACAAGAGTTTCTCCCGTGTTCCAACTGTGGTCTCATATAAACGAATACACTTTGAAAAAATCACTCGAATGAGGCGTGCGAGGTGGATCAAGACTTTCCCAGATAAGCACCCCCTGCAGGCCACCCCAATGAAACGCAGAAATTTCTTCTATTTTTTGTTTTGTTTTGTTTATTTAAATGCCCGAAATCAAGACTCTTTTGAGAAATATTTTTTAGTACTCCCTTAGAATTGAGTGTGCCCCTCCCGATTGACTGTTACAACAACCATACATTGCTCGGGATGAGAGTCTTTTGACTCATTCGCCCCCTACTGCCCAGTTTAATGAACCCCAAGAATAGGATTTTACGGTTTTTAGAATATATCATACTAAATCATGAGATATAGATAAACCACTAGAGAGAGAGACCACTTTACAACCAAACTCAGTAGTTATTACCTTAGATTTTGAGAAAAGATGTTCTCCCCAAAGAACGACCCCAGCCGCTCCTAATGCAGCACTTTCTCCAATGGTGAACACGAGATGATCCTATGGAAAAGAAAACAATCACATTAAAATAAAAAAATAAATAAAAATAATCTGTTGAAGAATAACAACAAAACTCTTAAAACTCTCTCAAAAAAAGTAAGAAACATTGATTTGCAACCAGCGCCAAATGGGCCTTGAAATGTCACTGATTTAATTTACTCATTTCTTTTCTGTGGAGTCCGAGAAGCATACTTTCAAAAGCAAGATTATTGTAATAGTCATTTTATCCTGTGTTTGTGCTTGTGGATGGCTGGGATATGCCGATGAAGGAAGATTGTGTGTCTTTATAGAGTTACACATGTTTAATGCAGTAGCCGTGTAGACCGTGGCTGAAACAATGGCAGAGACAGTAGGATGAGATTCAAATATACAGTAAGGTAAAGAAAAAATACTGGACAATTCCAAGTTTACATTTATTTTTACAATACATAAAATTTAAATAAATGTTCCTGATTGGTTTTATTATAAATTTTGTTTAACAACGCCAATCAGCTCTGGTTTGTTCACAAGACTTTTATTTTATTTGATTTATTTATTTACATTATGCTCTTTACTCCTTCTGTCTAGACAAAAACATGTATTATTATCAGATTAAGAAAAGTTAGGTACCCCAGCTTTAACGTGTTTCGTGGCAGTGGTGCTGACAAGAATCTATATATAGATTTCACTTTCAAAAGCAGATATCTCAGTTTCCGTTTACAACTTTTAACATGTTTTGTTTATTGGCAGTGCATTTGAAAGTATTTGTTCAAGAAGGGGTGACACTTTATTTGCATGGCACTAAAAATAGATCTGTTTTTTCTTTGAGATAGTTGAGATAGTTTCTCTAATGTCACCCATCTGTTTTTGCAACTGAATAGTCATGAAGTTCTGTGTATGAAGTTCAGCAATGATATTTATAGACTGTTGTTATTATGTATTATTATTATTATGTATGTGTGTAATTAATACACTGTACAAAGAAGTGAGAGGATTACCTTTGAGAGAAACTTGAATGAGTATGTGTAGACAATGCGGGCGTAGGGGAACACAGCGGGGGCTTGGGGAGTAGCCTGGGCCGCCACCCTCATGGCCTCCAGGATACGATGGTGACTGTACAGATACACTTCCTTATCCATATCCTGGAGCGGCAAACTAAGGTAAATGTCCGGATACAAGGCAGAGGACGCGTTCCACAACCAAAACAACTCATCGTTCCTTTTCCGATCGACCTCCGGACACTCCCCCGTGTAGTTGCTGCCTTTGAAGTAGTTGTAGCAGTTCGGAAATCCGTAAAAACCCCACAGACCATCGGGCCTCTCTCTGTGCCCTAATCTCAACGTCTCTTCCATAAACTTTTGAGCGGATTTCTCAAACTCAATCCTAGCAGCTGTTTCTACTTGTTCTGGACTCCAGTCGGGATGTTCGGCACGGACCACAGCTCGAGAACCTTTCCAGTAGACCTGCTTGGCGTCCCAGTTCCTTTCCCAAACGGGGCGCCAGCTTTCCCAGTCAACCACTGCCAGACCTTGGAAGTCCGAGCGAGGGATGGCGACTCTGATGTCGTCAGAAGCAGCTCTGAGATGTTTGTCCAGGCTTGAGTTTTGAGGCACTCCTCCATTGACTGGCGTTCCCTCGTTACCGTTGTACCTGGTCATAACAAATGTATGGTTGGTTAGTGATTGGGGATATAAAAACAAACTTACATTCACACTGCTGACGTCAACATTACAGATCAACTGATATATAAGGAAGATATCTTTTTAAAATATTGGCGTTAGGCCTTAAAATTGTCTGATTTGCTACCATGGCATTTTACATCTCATTTCAAAGCAATATTGCCGGAAAAAAAACACTACATCATTTATTTAACTTTAACCCAAAATACAATTTCTAATAATGAATCCAAAACATCTGTAAATCATGAAAAAAACTACCAATAAGAATATCCAAACCCATACTTAATAATAATTAATCCTTTTCCATCAATCCGTTAAGTCATGAGCTCCTCCTCACATAGTTCTTTATTTGTTTGAAAATCGTGTCACACATCGCTGCGATCTGTCACTCGGTATTGCACTTTTATTTAAACTGTATATATATGTTGCAAGTTATATGGTTTGTATGTATGTATTATCAAGGACTACAGATGGAAAGAAGCAGGTGCTAAATCTGGTGCAGCCGTCTTTTTAATGCAACTGCACATTGTCTTCAATTAATGAAACTTAAACAAAGAATGTCCTAAATGCTAACTAGCGCTAGCACCAACCCCCTGTTTGTTTGCTGAATCAAAATCTGCCTCAAATCAACATTGTGATTGACTGCTTGTCATTTATGATATCATTTTATACTTGTAATTTCTTAAGAATAAAACCCTCTGCCAGCTGTACCTGGGATACAGGCCAAGTTTGTCAGCATAGAAAATGGTGATGTTATCGCCCAAGAAGACCTGGTTCTGGTTCTGCACGATGTTGAATATGCCCAGGTCCAGGTCGATGTCGAACTGTGACAGACAGTTGGAAGTGGGAGCGTTCCACACCGTGAGGAAGGGCATCCGGGCCAAACTGGACCCTGACTGAACCCCTGAACACAACTGGGCCCATGGTAACACCAGCAACATGAGAACCCACGACTGGTTCATCCTGTAAAACAAAGAGAGGTTGTGTTTGAAATGACATTGAAATGAAATAGAATGTGTGGAATCATTAAAAGCTGAGGTACTTACTGTGCAATGTCCTAAAATCATGATATATCAACAATAACATCCTCATGCATGACATTTTTGGCCTTAGTCACATCTTGAGATTTGCTTTTTCAGACAGAAAAGTGAAAAGTCAGCTCTCAGCCCAAAGGGTCATACAATATATAGTGACAAATAAATATACAGAAATGTTTAAAGCTAAAAAAGTAAGGTACCGCAGCTTTAAATGAGACTGTTTTCTGGTAGTAGATCCATCCTTGAAAATGGTTCTATAGCCTGGTAGAACTTTAAATGACTTTTTATGCTCAATGTACCATAAAAACTTTCTTTTTGGAATGTTTACAAAGAGATTTTGAAAAAAATTGAGGGCGATAGTCAATAAATGTCTTGATAAATGTCTTAATAAATGAGTGGCCTATTAATCGACTAGTTGACTAAAAAGTGGGCATGGCAAATTATTAAAAATCTGAGCCGAAATGTACTCAAACTTAGATGTTACAAAGAAAAATAATCTCTTTAGAAATAATATCACTGAATTATTTATACAGTTTGATATGGCTTGAATATCTAAAATACCGTTTTGCTCAGTTTTTTCTATTCCTGTCAGTTTTCCCATAGATTATGTAACTGAATTACACTAATTAGTCCATTTTAATCAACTAAACAAAATTTGATCACCAATCCACTCAACTAAAAAGAGTTGATTGGACCATTATCTGTCCTGAGTAGAAATCAATAGGTCCTGGAAGCTGAAAATACAGAAAAAATCAAAACAAAATGAAGCAGGGATGGTAAAAATAATATCAACTTAAAAAAGCAGCGACCAAAATGACACAAAAAATAAGTAAATCACAATGCACTGATGTCATTATCTTTAATCCAGCAGTGCGTGTGGCATTTCTGTATCCTGTTTTTAATTTTTGAGTTTGAAAAAAGTAATTACAATGCTATAATGAATGTATACATTTGACACCATGCTTATACAGGGCCCTAAAACAACAGACACATATCACATCTGTTAACTATAAGGCCTAACGCAGCATCGGCTCCTGTAACAATGCTTCTTGTTCTGTCCCTATCAAATAAACACATAATAATAATAATAATAATACTCCAGATATAAACATTGTGCTGTTCTCCATTATCAGTGTTATTGAAAATACTCGGAAGATTGTGTGCTCCCTGTGTGTTCTTACTACTGTCCTGTATGTGCGCTGCAACATGGAAATTTCCTCACTGTGGGACAAATAAAGGAATTATCTTATTTCTTATCGTTGAATTCATAAATGTATCAGAATAAAACAACCATCACTTGACTTTCCAGTAGCAGAGAATGTACAGAAGTCCGTTGAGCAAGATAAAAAGAGGAACCTAATATATAAATAATATGGTGCTGTTGCCGCAACTCAAATAGTTATTTTCTTTTCATTATATGCGTGAGTAATGCACATGTGGTAATAATATAATAACAACTGTGTAAATGAGTCCGATTCTAAAGGGCGAGTGCATACTTGTTGGTGAACATTAGATATTAGTTCACATGTTTTCAAAGATTTTATACATTTTACAATACGAATAATCACGTATATTAGGAATTTCCAGGGTTTTAGGCTGAACTTGAAACTGAATACTGTATATTAACTGTATATATATCAACAATGGTAAACTTCAAGCATCCAAATTACATTATACACTAAGGTAAAAGACAAAACAAACAAAAACACATAATTTAAGCATTTATTCCCTCATATTTTATCATTTTCTTGCAGTTGTCCTCATTTATAGTGACTCAGACCAAAAGAGTGGACGTGACCTATTTATTTGATCGGGTATAGTAACAAAACTGTAAGCATGGAGCAGATATAACGCATACATACAGTACAGTCAATAAGTAGTGTTTTTCAGTACTTACTTGGATAATTACTACGTGAGGACTGCGGGTTCTGCGACGCGAGTCTCATGACCTGACGACAAGAAGAATGAAGGGGAAGGAGTGAGATTGTGTATACGGAAAACCCAACAACCAATCGGAAAAAAGGATTACAAACGAGTAAAATGGAACTAACCAATCAGAGGATACTATATACTGTACTCAGGAATCCTCGTCTAAAGTTACGGGAGAGTAAAACTTAGAGCAATTATGTCTCTAAATGAACTCAAGGTCAAAGAATAGGTCTGAATCACTGAAGCCTCGGAGATCTGTGGTCAATCTGTGCGTAAAATGACTTTTTGTCCAGCCGCAAAGCAATCTGCGCTTCGTTCAGCAGCGGTTCCAGCAGTGAAAATAACTCTGGTTTAACAGCACCCTACAATTTGATGGGGAGGGGGTTGGAGGGGGTTTTCGGGCCATGGATGTTGTTATTGCCCAGACTGCAGCCCGCTCCCAACATTAACATGTCCCCGCACGGGAATGACGCATGGAGCAGGCTGAGGCGCATCCAAAAAGAAAAGTCAAGCATTGTGACATTAAACAACTCCCACAGAAAGCACTTTGCAACACAGTCTATTGTTTCCAACCGAAGCGCAAAGGACACAACGTCTTACCGAAGCCAGCCAGAGATGAATAGATTTTCTCTGTAATGTTGATAGTTCAAAACAGCGACATCTAGCGGTATTTCAGGAACACGCAACTCCAAAAGGGTGGAGAGGGTTCTTTTCATGGTCCCAGGTTTATAAACGTTTCAGTTCAGATGTAACAGGTGCCAAAACGACTTGCAAAATACTGGAATACAATACAATACTAGTAAACGTATTGTAATCATTCTATTACTGAAGTAAAAGTACAAAAATATAGACTTATGTATGAAGCCTGCTGAAGTCAAAAAGTCAGATGTAATAACGGACAATGATTTTTATTTGAGACATTTTAAGAATTGCCTTTTCATGATTTGTATTCTGTTATACGGAATACTGTTATATTCGGTTTTATACAGAATGTGACAAACAAAACCTTTGCTAAATGGTTATCTGAACTTAGAAGCGTGGCTATTCACAACACAAAATATAATAAATAAAGGGCTAATTTAAACAGTTTATAGTTTAAATTTAGTCTCAATTCCGTGGGGGTGATTCTGTGAACATATAAATGTGACTGTATGAGTAGGCTTGTTCTGATTTTGAGATCCATCACCAATAAACCCCATATGCTGTATTTCTGATGCCACATACTGAAATCCCACACAATATGAAATATGAACATTGATTTTTACTTTACTTAGTTTCCTCCAAAAGACAAAACCATACTTCAATTATTAAACAGCTCAATTGACACAACCCCAACAGTAGAATCATCTGCACAAGTTCTCGCTTCTGCTTTTTATTTGTGCCTTTGAGGTGTTTTCTGAGAGCAGAAGTTAGGTCTACACAGGCTTTTACTTTTGGACCCATCAAACTCTATTCATTAATTAAGGTTCTCAGTACTTATCGTATTGTATATAGTATCTAGTTTAATTTTGTATTTCCGCTTCATCTCGATTTTACAGATCACAAATCTGAATTCTTCTTCCGCAGCTTCCTTGAAAACGATAAATGTCATAACGCTTTTACTCGAATGGATTTTCATACATCCCCGTTTTTATATTCCATATTAAATACAAAGCAAACCTGCACCAATATGTTTATTTTGTTGTCTACAATTCAATAAAAATCACCAACAAAAAACCGGCACATTTCAAAGCAAATAGTAGTCATGATTTGAACACAAATATATTCTAAGGGTACATTGAAAATAAATTAGACTTTCCATACCATTGTTCATTACATGATAGGAGACATTTAATCTTTACTGTGCCTTAAAGGTATAGAGGAGGACTTTACAACATTTTAGGAAAGAACCGCACTCTCCACTTTGGAACAAAACTCTCTGGTCTTATTTGTCGAGCTCGTATCTTCAGAATGATTGACACTTAGAAGGACCAATAGTCTTGATTATCCACCCGGAAGTAGAAAATCCTCCTATATACACTTTCAGAACTGTATCGGCAACACACAACATCCTCATTGAACAAAATCCCAATAAAATAATCATTAAAACAGATTCTACACAATTATGGAAACACCGACTGGAAAATGTAAACAGTCTTTTCCAAACAGAATCACAAAGAAAAATAATCTACAAATCTGACATTATACACAGACCAAATGTTATGACAGACCAGACAGAAATGCAGACTCTTTGGTGAAGGGTGTGCGGCAGTTCCAAGCCCAAAATTATCTGTACCGGTGCTTTTGATTATTTGGGTCAGAAATAACAGATGCAGATTGTGGCCAATGTTGTGGTAGCGCTAATAATACACATACACACTAACTTGTGTTGACTAACGCTGCAACAATCATCATTAACAAGTCTGTGAAAGCATCTGGCATGAAGCCTCTGCAAGTAGAAAAACACAACAGGCTTTGTTTAGAGGTCCCCAGAGACAAAACAGAAGAAAAGATGAAATAAGAAATAATATGTAGGCGTGTGAAACAACAGAACAATCTTTGGTTTACAGTGTTGGTATTCCCACACAAAGATTAGTCCATTAGACTCATTCCCAAACAGAGATTATTCCATCATACTCTACATTCAAGGCAAAAACAGTCTTCCCTGTTTGAAGGACACATCACTTTTCAACAGTTTCATTATTTAATAATTTGGAGTCTTTTCTCTGAGGATGAATTTATCGATCAACTAGAAGAGCATTCATAGAGAGAAAACCACAGCAAAATTAGTGATATTTATGAAGTGTATACTGATGGACCCTTGAGCTCAATGTTGCTGAATAGGGAAGTGCTCATGGGGGAAATGTCACTCTTACTCAGGCATGTCAAACTCAGGCCCGTGGGTCACATCCAGCACACAAGACAATTTTTAGTGGCCCCTGAAAAGATTTTCCATTATCTTTATCACAGTAACTTGCAGCATTGATGGTAAGGGGCTTGTTGTATTTCATTATAAAGTCTATTGTCTCAGGAAAACAACCATGTAACCTAAACTTGTTAAAAAATATTAACTAAAATGTACATAGAAGTTGGAGTTAATTATATATACGGCCCAGTTGTGGTGGAATCCAATTTAGAAAATATCCAAACTCATGTCAAATACGATTAATTAACAACAAAAATATGTGAAAAAAACAAAAAACACCAGACTTTTATACTTCTCGCCTAGCCTGGTCTTAGCATACCGTTATACAAATTGACCGGAGTTTACAGATGGCAAAGGCCAGGCTACTTCTGGTTCTGAACCCAACCTGCTCTTACGATTTTAAATTTGGCCCAGACCAAAATCAGTTTGACCCGCCTGCTCTGACTCAACAAAGCCCAATAGGGAAGTGCTCATGGGTGAAGTGTTGCTCTAACTCACTGGCTCCTTTTGAATTACACTGAAAAGTAAATTCCTCCAGCTCAGTAACCGCTCATGTCAAACTCACCATTTTGGACTTTAAAAAAATCCTGGTTAAGTAGTTTCTGCGATTTTGGAGTTTTCAGTTTCATATTGTCTTCGTAATACCTGAAACAAACCCTAACAACTAATCAATCAGATGCTGGTGCAGATAAGACAAGATGCCTGGATGTCTAAACGATTGAGTCCAGATGGGTTGGGGCCCAGTCTCACACAGTTATGTCCAGTGTGAGGCCCCAGCTAACTTGAGTTTGAGACCCCTGTATTTAACCCCACATAAGAATAAGAAAGTGTCAGTTAGTAGTTAGTTACTTTGTTGATACCTGTAGGAGAATCCATCTATTCATCTAAGGCCATACTAAGAATAATAAATCCTAAATTAGGTTTGAATAAATCCCATTTAAAAACTAATTAACCATAAATCATACACAAATTACCACTTAATTAGCCGTTAATGAGTAAGTGAACTAAAGTGGGCCAAAACTTCTTATTTTTGAGTAGTATTACATCTGTAACTAAATAATGAATTATGCTTCATATTGAAAAATGGGTCCGATTCATTCCATGCAAAGGCATAGCGTCTCCATGACAACAAGCAGTCCAAAATTGTGCGCAGTGTGGCTTTAAAAAGACTAAAATCCTTAATTATTTATTGTTTCACATGAACATAAGTGCGTGTACTAAACAGTAGCTGACGTAAAAGTAAAAGCATTAGGAAAGATTGAGACAAACCACGAACAACAAAAGGCAGTGTGAAATGATGGAGGCTTTGGCAACATTTGCGTTTCCTCTTTGGTGCATGGGGTCCTTCTGCTGACAGGTCTCTCCTTGGTAGCCGCTGTAGCACTGGCACTGAAAATCCATCTGGAATCTTGTCTTCTCCGCCTCATCCAGCTCTCCTGTCACCGCCAGACGGCCATTTTGAGTGGCGATGGCGTGCGTGAGGGGGTTGAGGTGCAGGTAACTGTCGGTGTCCGGGTTTCGGCGAAGGCACCGTCCGTGAGAACCGCACAGAGTCTGGCTGCAGAGCTCTGCTGCTGTGGACACGTTCAGTAAGTATTTGCTCAGAGAATCCTGGAGATAGGCCTTGAGCTCCAAACAGCTCGTCTGGGAAGAGAAAAGAATGAAAAAGTGTCAAGACGAGACGACAGGTCCAGGCTTCTTGGCCAAACAAACCGGCTGCAAAGACTAAAGAAACATTGTTCAAATATTTGGCTGTCCTGGTGCCAATGCCAACCAGAACACAAAAGCCCCATAAAACCAAAGATCAGCAACTAAAACATGTCAAAGAGGCATGTAGTGGTTTTAAGGGGTTTAAGCAACACATTAGGGCTGCAACCAATACAACTAAACAAATGTATTGTAACACAGTATTCCATCAATTAGTATCTAATTTTACAAAACCATTGAATTCACCAACACAGACACAGACATGCAATGATTAAAAACAAAGTCAATTTCTAATTTTAGAGACATGGACCAATAGTTGTTATATATATATATTTATGTACTGTATATGTTTCTTGGCGTCTTCAGTTTTCCGTCTTTCTTTGACTTCATAACACTGATCTTTTTCTGATACTGCAAATAATTTTCACACGACCGTCACCATCTTCTTTGTTTTTTCAACTGTGGAAAGTGCACGGACGCCCTCTTCTTGCAAGTCCATACCATCGGCGAATGTCATTTTCATTTGCCGATGGTAATTAACGAGGCAAACATCGGCCGAATTTCAGCCGATGCATCATGGGTCCCTAGTTGTTATTTTTGGCATTTTCTGTGTTTGAATTGTTTTATTCTCTGATTTGTTGATGAGAAATAGACAACGTGTGAAGTCCTTGACTGCTTTTAATATTTAGGGCTGTACAAAAAAAGAATTGAATATAAATATAAGGTTGAAATCTACTTAAATCTGCCAAACTGTTAATCCCTGCCTTCTTTGTTGCATTTCACACATTTCCAAAAATGGCAACATATTTGGAGCACGGCAAGAAACGTTGAAAAGTAGAGATACAATCACGAAGGACAATGTAGATATTATTGCAGCTCAATGTTAATGCCGCACAGTGGACCAGCCCAGCCACAACCATAACAAACAGATGGTGGCCAGGGTATTTTTTAAATCAATTCAGAGCCTGGGAAACTTGAGAAATGAGAGCAGCTTTATGTGGCTCACTGCAAAATTAAAATACAGATTACTACACAGTGGGAGACAGATGATTGAACGTGGTAACCTCATATGGAAAAGTAAACAAGATTATAAAATGTTATTGCAACATTTGTGTAATCAAAAGTCACAGAGCAAATAAATCTCATAACGTCTTTTCTTCTAAGCCAGTAATAACAAGCGGTTATGTGTTGATTTATGTATGCTTTGTTGGACATTCTTCTCTTAAAGTTTAAACAGCTGACAACTTCTAACAAATGCTTGACTTAGGAGCCTCATGACCGTCCTTCTCTGATGACTGCACATGACCGACGCACACAGCAGGACAGAAAATAATCTATAACATTTACAGCATGTCGTTACAGATTTGGGCTGTTTCATGAAGTTAATTTATGGTTTGTGTTGGGTCTTACTTTGCTGCTTGCGTAGGCCACATCCCCCCACAGGATAATACCAGCCGCTCCTAAAGCCACACTCTCCCCGATGGTGGACACAAGGTCGATCTGAAAAACACAGCGTTTTGATCACTCTGTAGCAAGTGTGCACAGTTAGGAAAGGAGATTTGTAACCGTAACAGAGCACTGTAGTGAGTGAATTAGACTCTTGGAACTAGAAAATTCAATTCAATTCAATTCAATGTATTCTTGTATAGTCCTAAATCTTTGAGCATCCATAAGTGTTATGTTAGTATGATTTACTCTTTTTGTAATATTTTGTAAATGTACCTACGTTGCTTGTGATTAATTTGTTCTAATTATTTCTATGCTCACTTACTTGCTCGAAATAAATACACACATACATACATACAGTAGTTATCTCATAGGACTTAACAAAACTGTTGAAATTGTCAAAACGGGTCAGAGAATCTCTGTTTCCTTGTGTATATGTGTACCTTTCTGCTGTTGCAACCAAATTGCCCCTCGGGGATAATAAAGATACCTTCAACCTTGAACAATTAAGACACACAAAATATAGAACACAAGGTATTGGTCCATAGAGAGACCAATGTCCACCACAGTCCTTGTTAGACCAACCCTATGGGAGAACAGTGAGAAACCTCGGGGAGAACCACCCGTAGAGCACCTGTAGAGTGCAGACCTCAGCCAAAAGATGCACTTCTGTTACTTACTAATCGTAGTCCAGATAGTGACCCGCATCACCTCCAAAATCAAATATTTTTCTTTGTTCTATTTCCAAGATTTCATGAACATTTCATACGCAAATGTTTGCGTCATCTTGCAGATAGACAAACACACAAACAAACCTGGGTGAAGAGATATTGTTATTGTTATTTTCTACTGAATGGAACTGCACCTCTTGCTAAAGGTCTGTGCACTACGAATAATTGGTATCCGGACATTTTAATCCCAAAATTAAGACAAAAATTTAACTATGGAAAGTATAAAAGCTTTCCCTCGCTGGTGTCATGCAGCAGACACTTGACAGTCAACAACATTTACGGACATGGACATTAATCTGCCCCTGATGGACCAACAGTTATCTTTGGACCAATTTTATCTTTGTGCTTTGTGTATTTTTTAATCATTGCATTTCCTGTGTTTAATCACTACATAATTCTCTGATCTGTGTCGGCGGGTGGACAGCTTGTAGAGTCCTCCGAGATAACTACTGTTGTGATTTATACAATACATTGAATTGAAGTTATAGAACACATCACATGTTATTCCAAGATCAACCTAATTGGTATATTGCACATGGTCAACCCTGTGAAAATCCTCTCTATTTTGTACAAAAACACAAATGTCGTCACTTTTTATCAGTAGAAAACATCAGCAACGATACACAGTCCTACATTAAACATGACCTTAATTTCAGCATGACTTTGTTTTATAACTTCCTCATAAAGTTCATAAAGGTGTGCTCTGTGCGGTGTCAAACTGGGTATTTCTTATCAGCCCATTGTCCCATCAGAGAACAGAGCACCGGGTGTTGGTGACATTTTGATCCACTCCCATCCTGCTCCTAATTCTCACACAAATCACTGATATTAGAGCAGAACGTGTGGTTTCAGGAAACGCTGCAGCTGCTGATAAGGAAGGGGCCAAAAACATCACATCATGCAGATAGCGCTACTGCTGACGGACTGGAGTTCACGATTAGCTAAAACAATTTGTTACGATTGTGGGTGTTTTGTTCCGTGTCAGAAAGTGCCATTAAGTTTGACAGGTCCAGTTCCAGGAATTGGCCTTTGAGAGTGCAGTGAATGGGCATGCATTGAGTTGGATGTATGAATATAGAAAACCTTAAAAAGCTCCCACTTTGAACTCCCCACAGAATTTGAAATTAGACTTTGGACTTCATTTTCCATAGATTTCTAAAACATTTACAGCGTTTGAATTGAATGTTGTATGTTGGGACGGCAGTCTGACCTCGAGAGACCGTGACCGGCTCGACAGGCTGATCAGGAAATGTGTGTCTGTGATGGGGAGAAGTGTGGACTCTGTGGGAGCTGTGCTGGAAAGAAGGATGAGGGCTTTAATGCAGTAACTTCTCCCTCTGCATGACACTATGGCCGCTCAGAGGAGTAATTGTAGCAACAGGCTTATATCACTGCTCTCCCAAACAGAACATTTGAAGAGAACCTTTGGCTGTCAGACTGTACAACAAACCTGTTAGAAATGTTTATAATTGATATACTTATGGGTATACATGAATGTGTTTTCTGCTGCTGTACACCTGAATTCTTCCTACGAAAATTAACTTCTAAAGTGATCACTTGTTTGTCCCAAAAAAATCAACGTTTTCGAACCAGTTTGACATCATGTTCAAACAAGCGCTACTGTTTAGAACTGCCCCAGGACAACAAAGAACCACAGTAGTAATGCTAACAAACAAAAAACTAAGAGTAACCAGCAGAGGGGGTGCCAAAAGAACCACTAGACCCAGCCATGTGCCCACTTGAATGAGGAAGCCCACTTGAATGAGGAAGCTTTTAATGGGCGATTGTACAGTAAGTGTAGCTATTTGGCTTACAATGCGTGTATGTTACTCACAGACTAGAAAGGCACTAGAACTTTTTCTTTCAATAAATTACTGGAGCCAGACGGTGATCCGGAACGCCTATTATAATTTGGTTTTGCCCCATGTCTGAGTTTGTCTGTTTTTCTGATTTTGTATATATCCTCACATCGCTTTTTAGGTAATGTTGCTAACCACCAAGAAAACAAACAACCCTGGAGAAAATTAAACCCTAAAACATTTTTGTACCGGGCCAAGTGCTCAAGATCACATATCAGAAAACGAATACATTTTCATTCCGTCGTTCCTATAATAAACTGCATCCACCCCAGGCCATTCCACTTCAACAACAAACATCTTTTAGGAGCTCAAGAATGCCACACACAACACACTCTCCTGCCTCATCTACTTTGCATCACCTCGGTCAGCGGCACCAGGGAGTTGGCGTAGGTGGGTCTGGCGTAGACAAACACGGGTCTGGCCAGCCCTTCTCCAGACGAGGCCAAGCGCATGCCTTCCTTCACCCTGTTCCTCACAAACTGCTGCCCCGAGCGCGACGACCTCAGCATCAGACCCATGTAGACGGACGGAAACAGCGCCGTGCTCTCCTCCCACAGCCACTTCAACTGCTCGTTCCTGACCACTTCCACATCAGGACAGCGACCGGTGTAATTCTCCAAAGTCCTTCGATAATCGTGATTGTAGCAGTCGGGGAATAGATAAAACCCCCACAGCTGATTGGGCCTCAGGCTTTTGGCAAGTTTCAACGTTTCCAACATGAATTTTTTCGCTGATGACTCGAATTCTTGCTGCGCCGCTCTGTACACTTGCTCCTCTGGCCACGTGGGGTATTTCTGTCTCACTAACTCTTTCGAATGCTGACGATAAATATCTTTAGCGTCCCAATTTCGGATCCAGAGAGGGCGCCATTCTTCCCAGTCGATCACAGCCAGTCCTTTGGCATCTGGCTCTCGGATGTATTTTTGCACCACCTCTGGCATCTTCTCCAGGTGTCGAGAGAGATGGGCCATTTGGGGTAACCCTCCATTTACCGGCGATTTGTCTTCCTCAAAATAAGGGTACAGACCAAGCCTTTCCTTGTAAAAGATGGTGAGGTTCTGTCTGAAAAAGGCTTCATTGGGTGAGGCGACGATTTGGAACAGATCCAGCTCAAAGCGGACACCGTGGCGGGGGGTGCAGTCCTCAGTGGGAGCGTTCCAGGCCAAAACCAGGGGCTTCTGGGAATACAGAGGCCATCTTGTAGGACGGAGCTCCAAGGCCTGAAGCTGGTCCCATAGAAGAACAATGGTCATCAGTATTTTCCAGTCCATAAATGTCCAGTACATGTCTTCTGAGGTGAGCTGTCCCTTCTCTGCTCTGCAATTCACATAAAAACCCAGCAATTTAGTGAATAGGCACTTCATGGGCATTCATTAAACAAGGAGTAATACTATGTTGCATAAACTTTACATGCGATTTCATATAATGGTTAAATTGTAATTGTAAACTGTGATTATAGGTTTTGAGCCTGCAATGAAAGTAAGTAATTTAAAGCTGGGGTACGGAACTTTACAGTTTTGACAAAAAATGCATAATAGATTCTTGTAAAAGCAAAATTCTGTCTTCTTAAAAAATAATAATAATAATACATTGTACTTATAATCCGTTTTTTGGAAACTCAAAAACGCTTTACTGTTAGTAATACAAAATAAACAAATAATAAAAGCTACAATCTTATTAGAAAACCTGTTAAGAGTTGAGTGAGGTCCTCTTTCTTTTTAAACTTTTCTGTCTGAGAATAAAATAATGTATTTCATTACATTCTGTTCCTATTTTGTGGTTTGATAATTGGGGACACCAGCTTTAAATGTGCTCTAAACACAGGGCTTACGCAAATCTATCTAATTATTAATTGATATTATTATGATTAACTCTACTATGTTCATATGATGTCCAAACTTGTACAGAGAGCCCATAATGTTGAAAAGAAATGACCAAAACCAATACTTCCCAAATCTTGAAATTCCATCACTTTTGTAATGAATTCGAATCACAATCTAGATCACAATCCATGCTTTGACATACAGCAGCCTCTGAACGTAGTGTTTTCTTGCCCAGTAGGCGTGATTAGAAAGTTAGCACCACTTTTAATTCATTCCACGAGTTGGGAAAAAAAACGTTACCTTTCCTGGCAGATCTAGAAGGACGCATTCCCAAAAACAGAAGCCGTCGCTGCTGCTGCCGCTGCCGCTGCTGCTACCCCTCCACGAGTGTTGACTCAAAGTAAACTTGGAAAACTTCTAGTAGCAGCCGAAACGCGCATTTTGTCTTCTCTCTGGGCGCGAAAGAAGAAGTGACAGTGGAGGAAATGTTGATCCGTGCACATAAAAGTCTACAGAAGTCAAGGTGGGGGAGAAGAGAAGTTTTTACCCCCTGCGAGGTTGTCAGCTCTGGCTCTCACTGACTGTGCCAAAAGCGCTCCAGGATGTTCCATTTACGCAGCGCACAGGAGCGGGGGGGAGTGGCAAGAGAACCGGACATCCCGACCACTCCAGAGGGTCCCAACGCGCGACACGGCTGGGTTTGAAGTGTCTCTCGAGCGTCTTTTGACAGATATTACGGGAAGGGTTCAAGGGTTTTGTGGTTTGGCTCCAAATAAACAAGTTGAAGAGGCTTCTCCACCTCCACCGCGCGTAAAGTTACTCTGCGCGAGATTAAGGTCAAGCAGCAACAAGCAGTGCCAAGTGATTTATAATCTGAAGAAAGGAAAGTTCGTATACTTACACCGTTAATATAAGTAACATTTTAGGGAATTCTGAGAGCCTTTTCTCGATTTCACTATTTATGACGGCTATACATATATATTATCGTATGGGCTAAAGCTTGTATTATATTAGTAGAAATATAGTTTTGGTTGGTTTTGTTCAAGTCTCACTAATGAATAAGATAAAAAATTAAAACACGTGTTTGGCAATGAAACAAAACTTTTTGCCCAAAGTGCTTCACATGCACAACAGGAGAAAAGAGAAGAAAAAGTTCACACAAACACATGTTTGTAAAGCAGTGGAACTCAGTTGGTGTTTAAAGCCAAAGGTATACAAATGTGTCTTTAGACTTGATTTAAAAACCTCCAAATCAAGAGCTGCTCTAATGTACAGAGGTAAACGTTTCCACAGTTTGGGAGCAACAGCCAAAGCCCAGTCTCCTCAAAGATTTGAGACAACTAAGACCTGGACATGTTCAACAAAAGCTGGTTTTCTGATCTCCCTGGTCTGACAAGGGCAGAGATAACAGTTCTGTCAGATATACAGGGGCTAAACCCTTTAATCATTCAGAAACACGTATTAGAATCTTAAAATCAGCTCTGAATGTGTCAGGGAGCCATGAAGTGAGTCCAGAACAAGGGTCTTTTATATACATAAATAAATAGGTCTTGTGTGATAATAACAACAACATGGTTTCTTCTTATTATTGCTGGTATGAACCTGTTATTAATAATAAGGAATATTAATAATTAATAATAATAATAATTAACTTACCAGATAATGGGGGCAAAATAGACCAAATTGGAAAAAATAGAGGAACAAATCTTACTTTTGTTTTGTAAATTATGAAGTGGTTCCTCACATTTTCACATATTTTTATTCAAAGGTATATGGGAGGTTTTTGTACTTCCGGGTGGATCATCAAGACTATTGGTACTCCTTATTGTCAATAACTCTGGTGGTACTGCTCATCAAATTAGTGGAGAGGGTGGTTCTTTCCTAAAATTTGGGAAAATCCTCTAAAAATAGCATGTAATTGAATCAGCAGCCATCACAGTGTTGGCATTCTCTATGACTCCTAAAGCAAAGGTCAATACATTCAGAATTTATACTACTTCTGTTGATCTGTAATTGATCTGAAATAGTTTGACCTGTGAAAAAGACACATTGCTTCTACACAGACTTGTTCAAACCAGTCAAAAGCCACAGTTGTCGCAAAAAACTCAACGTTTCCCCTTTATAGGACGCTCAGAAGTTTTATTGTCACTCTTACCACTATTAATTAAACGAGATGAAACTTTTAACTGTTTATTTATAGGGTAATTCTCTCTTGATGTGTTGCTATTTAAATGAGTTTTCCACGTCTGCTCTTCACAACAGCGCACTCTTGAGATATGAGTGTTGAGCACAGAGCATCTGGTTTGCACATGTCGCTTCTGCCAAACACAGATGCCAACCATGCAGTAATACAGTATATAAATATCAGTACTAGTATTCGGGCTTGCACTTTGGGAGTTTAGACGAGGTCCTCAATATGGGAGAGTATATAAGGGCATTCGTGGTAGAGGCATCACAAGTTATAGAACAGTAGGAAAGAGGAGCACACAGCACAAGATACAGTAAGTGAGCAATAGCTATACTATTTAAAAATATATTTATAAAAAATCTCTAACTCTAGCATCAAATAACAAGTATAAAATCTATATCTTGAACAAAAATGCAATAATAAAGAGGTATAAGTTTTACATTTGGCAAAATAAGAGGCAAGTATAAAGTAGTGTGTATTCTAGTGTAAGCAATGTGTAGTTATTTGTTAGCATCTGTACATGTTAGCAGCAGTATGTTTACATCTGTACATTAGCAGCAGTATGTTTACATCTGTACATTAGCAGCAGTATGTTTACATCTGTACATTAGCAGCTGTATGTTTACATCTGTACATTAGCAGCTGTATGTTTACATCTGTACATTAGCAGCAGTATGTTTACATCTGTACATTAGCAGCAGTATGTTTACATCTGTACATTAGCAGCAGTATGTTTACATCTGTACATTAGCAGCAGTATGTTTACATCTGTACATTAGCAGCAGTATGTTTACATCTGTACATTAGCAGCTGTATGTTTACATCTGTACATTAGCAGCAGTATGTTTACATCTGTACATTAGCAGCAGTATGTTTACATCTGTACATTAGCAGCAGTATGTTTACATCTGTACATGTTAGCAGCAGTATGTTTACATCTGTACATTAGCAGCTGTATGTTTACATCTTAACATTAGCAGCAGTGTGTTTACATCTGTACATGTTAGCAGCAATATGTTTACATCTGTACATGTTAGCAGCAGTATGTTTACATCTGTACATGTTAGCAGCAGTATGTTTACAGCTGTACATTAGCAGCAGTATGTTTACATCTGTACATGTTAGCAGCAGTATGTTTACATCTGTACATTAGCAGCAGTATGTTTACATCTGTACATGTTAGCAGCAGTATGTTTACATCTGTACATGTTAGCAGCAGTATGTTTACAGCTGTACATTAGCAGCAGTATGTTTACATCTGTACATTAGCAGCAGTATGTTTACATCTGTACATTAGCAGCAGTATGTTTACATCTGTACATTAGCAGCAGTATGTTTACATCTGTACATGTTAGCAGCAGTATGTTTACATCTGTACATTAGCAGCAGTATGTTTACAGCTGTATATTAGCAGCAGTATGTTTACATCTGTACATTAGCAGCAGTATGTTTACATCTGTACATGTTAGCAGCAGTATGTTTACATCTGTACATGTTAGCAGCAGTATGTTTACATCTGTACATGTTAGCAGCAGTATGTTTACAGCTGTACATTAGCAGCAGTATGTTTACATCTGTACATGTTAGCAGCAGTATGTTTACATCTGTACATTAGCAGCATGAGGTTCTGGGATACAGTGACTAAACTAAGATTAAACTTTATCACAGATTCCAGGTCCAGATAAAAAACAAGACTTCACAAAATGTTGTAACATATACATTAACGGCAGACTGCTGTACAAACTGCTCACTCTGATGTGTTCTGTTGTTGTGTCCTTGGGCAAGACACACTATGGGCATTAACACCTTGGGCATTAACCCCACTATGCCCAAAGCTCCCGCTGAAATACCACGGCCGTGTCTTCGATGACGGAGCAGCAGCCATCTTCCCGTGGACCCACCACCTGCAGGAGGGTCAGTGAGGGGCTGGTGCTCTGAGCGTTGGATGGCAGCTTTCATTGTAACATTGTAACAATAATAGATCTGAAGTGTTTTGCAGTTTAATCCAATAGTGCATTTTAACACCCATATTGTGAAAGGTATTCAGAATACAGTGCTCTAATTGGACCATCTACAAACAGCAACACATTTGACCTCTTAAACTCTCAGGCCTATTCCAATGTAAGTGCTATACAGGCCTTTTCACAGCCTGAACATTGTTGAAATGCTAGAAATTTTACTCAAATTGTAAGTTAGTCTTTGGGGATTCTGTGAATGTGAACATTTTCATGTCTACAACAGTTTAGAAGAGTACATTATCAAAAAAGGTTGGTTCAATCAAATGCAACTTCAATCTTTTACTGACACCTTGAAGCAAAGTTTACGTCTAGATTCCAAAAAAATAACAATTTATGCAGGTTTTGATGTGAAAAAGGCATTTGGCACAGGTTGGCACAAAAAAGTAAAATGTGGAATATCTCAATGATGTTGAAACATTTAGATGCCGTTACATATTTGGTCATAAAAATGCTTTTTGTTTCATAAAAAAAAATACAAATGTTTTATAAAAACTCACTCCCTGCGTCTGCTTGCCTCAAAGTCGGCATCGAGCAGAGTTCTCTTCCTCTAACTAATAATACTAATAAAGCTAATACTAATATACTGATTCTTATTCTCAAAAATATGTAATTCTTCAACTAATTAAACCAATGCATTCACTCATACTTTTTTCAGCTTCAATGTCCAGGTTATAATACTGCAGTTAACACAAACATGTTTTTTATATGAAACTTGTGACTTTGGATAAACTGTCTCTTTGCTAAGTATTTTTTAAACCCTTTATTTATTACTGGCTGTGTTAAAGGCATGTGGGGGGATTTTCTACTTCCGGGACGATCATCAAGACTATTGGTCCTCCCAATTGTCAATCCTTCTGGTGATCCGTGCTCGTCAAATAAAACCAGAGAGTTTTTTGAAAAAGTGAAGTGGGGAATGTGGGGAAATCCTCCTATACACCTTTAATTTGTGACACAACAACAAAAAAGCTGTGAAAAAAGCTGATCAGGTGTTTGGAGTGCGTGTCGCCAGTGTTTCCCTGAAAAGTATCTAATCCTGGAATAATCATAAAAGGGACTTATCAAAACTAAAGTGCTCTTGCCACACTGCACATCACAGCACGCCGCTCTTCACCCGGATGCCTTTCACTGAACAATTATCGGGGCATTTTGCTTTCACATGACGGAGGGCAGGCTGGAAGTCACTCTTTCCTGTTTCTGAGAATGTGGCTTTCCCGCTGACTCACCATCCCATCTGCCCCTGTGCTCCTGTGCGCTTCATTTAGGGGGAGAAAAACTGATGGACCAATAGAATGAAGGAGGTGAGTGCAGCAGAACAAAGCACAGGCCTGGAGTCTGACCAATGACCTGACCGTCCAACACATGACTTCATGTGGAGCTGGACACTGTCCGGAAGTCACAACAATGGCTTTGGGTGCAATATCCTTCAATAAACTTTGCATTATTCTTGTTCATCTCTTAGTTTGAGGAGAGGCAGTTTTTTATTTGTCTCTCTGTTGCCTGTTCTTGAGTGTTCAGAGATTCATGAACATGTAAACTTCAATTCAATTTATTTTTGTGTAGCCCTAAATCACCTATATTGGAGGACTTTACTGTGTTGTTGATTTGCCAACACAGATCAGAGAATCAGATCAGGAAATGCAATGATATGAAAACACATAGAACTGTTGGTCCATCAGGGGCAGATGACCAATGTCTATAAATGTTGCATCTGCACCCAGTCTCTCTTAATGGTTTTACTGGCGTGTGTGTGTTGCATTTTCTGAATGGAGACAAAAAATATGATCCATAAATGTTGTTGAATGTCGAGCATCCTGGATCATCACCACTGTCCTTAAACCCTCCTGCATCAGCCTTTTTCAAAGAAATCATTTCCTGCTAATTAAGTCTTCATTTTTTTGTCAAAAAATTTCAAACATTTTTGCACAAACCTAGGGAGTCATCCAGAGGTATTCAGCTAAATGTTCAAATTTAGATTCAAAACTTTGTAATCACTTTTACTATGATCTGAATGTTTTCTAATTGTTTTGTAAAGGTTGAAAGTAATGATATTCGGACTGTATGACTATTGTGTGGAGTTATATGTTACACTTTTTGGCTTTTTTAAATTCATTTGCTTATTGTATAAGCAAATTCTTCATTTGTGACTTCCTGTTAATTACAATGATAATAAAAAAAACCAGGTGTGAGGGGTCACCAGCACAACATGTCAGATGAAAGGTGGTTTGGAGAATGTTGTGATAACGCAATGAAAGGCCCAGTTTGTCTGTTCTGCACATGGCCCTTTATCAACACAGCTCTGTGCTGTGTTTACTCTGTGCCACTGTTTACGATCAGCAATAAATACTCTTCACCTCTTTCGTTTTATTTTTAACTAAATTGAAGAGCAGTCGTAGAGCGCAGACCTCTGCCTGGCAGCAGTGATCCGGATCACCTCCAAAATGAAATGATTCACTTCCTGAATATTTATATAAAATATTGGCCTATAACTTTTTTAGTTTTGTAACAAACACAAAACAAAGAAGCCCAGCTGATTACATAACCCACTGGAGGAGGCAATAACACAAATGTAAGAATCCTGATCCTTATTGTAATGTGGTCATTCATTCATTCATTCAAAGCTCTACCAACTGAGCTATAAAATAATAATAATAATGCATTCGTTTTTTCAAAGACGCTTTACATGTCATTATTCATTCACTCCATACACGGTGGTGATAAACTACTGCTGCAGCCACAGCTGCCCTGGGGCACACTGACAGAAGCGAGGCAACCAGTATGTGCCATCTGACCACCACCAACCATTCACACACACACCAGACTCATTCTAAAATAGTACATTTTTCAACTATTCTTTTGTTTTGTCCAGGTTTAGTCTCATCAAATGATGAATTGATAGTTTAAATACAATCAAAAAACAGTAGCAATATAATAACTATATAATATAGTAATATAAAAGTGTAGTATTTTTGGCTGGTTTTGTTCACACTTTCACAGTCAAAGAGAGTGAAAACATTAAATTCATAAAATGTAATAAAAATAAATAGTACAGACCAGGTTTTACATGTTTCTTATCTTACCTGTCATTATGGAATGGCTGAAAGATTTCCAACTATTATTCATTTATATAATTAATTATTTTTTTTAAATGACTACCTCCACTATAGAATGTATACTATATTTCAGGTGAACACAACAAATATGTTTTATCTAATGAGTCAAATAACACAAAAAGTGATCAATGGTCTTGCATGATAAACTTTAGATCTGTGAAAGCTGCATCCTCTCGATCACATGCTGTTTTTTTCACTCATAACTTCAAAGAAAGAAGAGGAAATACATCAAAGTCAGTGACCTCTGGCTCCGAACGCACAGCCGACCACATTCCACACAATTACAGAGGACAGGAGTGGTCCGAAAGAGGAAGCCCAGCCCAATACTTTCATCAAATATGATCGTGTAGAAACCATTGGAATAAGCAGCTGCAGCTCACATACCCCCAAGTCAGTTTTAATTACAGCTTCTGAAAGAGCGGCCGACGAGAGCCATGATTCAGAACGTCAAGAAAAAAACGTGAGCCTGGTTTGGTCTGGACTCATTTCCCCTCTGAGGTCAACACGGTAAATCATTTGCTTTTACTTAATTCTAAAATGTTTTTTGTCAAACATATGTTGGAGGCATCTCAAATATAAAAGTAAAGAAAAACATATGGCAATAGAGTACTCAACTTTGAAAAAAAAGGAGAAAAAAAAATGCAATAACGAGTTCTGAGCCTGATAATAGTAATAATAATTTTGAGTAGCTATTTGGTCAGTACGCATTGATGATAAACTACTATAGCCACAGCTGCCTTGGGACAGACTGACAAGAGTGAGGAAACCAATATGTGGAATGTGCCTCTACCACCACCAGTAGTATAATTTGTTCACAAAAATGTTACTCAAACAAGACTCCTCTGTTATCATGAGAAATCTAAGTGTTCCTGCACATCTGTATGAACAAGATGTATTCATGAATAAAGTTTCCCATAGTAACCTGTGAAAAGTTACATTTGTTGTGCTTTGTATTCAGTTTATTTTATTCCTGTTATACCTCAATAGTATAAGGGACGTTTATGATAACAATATTAATGCATCAGTTTTATATAGCGTCTTTCAAAGGCACTTCACATGGTGATAAACTACTATTGTAGCCACAGCTGCCCTGGGGCTCACTGACAGAAGCGAGGAAACAAGTATGTGCCATCTGCCACTCCGTCCACCACCAATCATTTACATCCATCACACAGATTCTAGGCAATGCAGGTAAGTGTCATGCTTATACAGCAACTATTTGACACTTTACAGCCACAACCGCCCCACAGTGGCACCTGGTGTTCCCAGAGGTCTCCCATCACAGTATTAACCAGGCCCTGCACTACACAGCTTCAGAGGTCTGACAATATCTGGCTTTCATCTACAGGTAGGGCCATGATTAGATGCATAATGATGCATCCAATCTTAGTGAGCCATTTACTGATCACTACATGTGCTCCTGTTGTGAGGGTGCCACGTGCAAAAACAGTTTAATAAACATTTGGTATGATTAAACTTCCTCATAACTGCATGTATTCTACGATGTTTGCTCGATGTTTATCGGGTGCAGAGTTTGAAAATAATCTGTAAGTGCACTTCACGCTGCAATAAAGAGATAAATATAGTGCAGAATTGGGTCAAAACTACAAGCTTATACTTAGAACAATGTCAGCTACCACTTAGACTTGTGAAATTACTTTCCCCATTGCCAAAATAAGCCACACTGCAGTGACTTGGTTCAGCAAACCATTTATTCAAGTATTCAGAATAAAAACTTTGTATACTGTACACTATGTTCACTAGTGCGGGTCTGAAACTCCAGGAACAAGACAGACACTTGTTTTGTTTTTTACAAGAAAACGTCACAATCCACCTCTGTCCAAACTTCTCAGGACGTCGGTTTGGACATGAAAATGTATTTCACTTTGTAACAATTACAAAGAGACACACACACACACACAGTCAAACACGAGGAAGACCATCACGTGTGTATTCTTGAAACGATCTGATGAAATGTCTTAAGTGACGGAATAATGTTGAGGCCACCGCATTTAAAAACACCAATATATAGTAGCAGCATGCAGGCAAGCCATCGTGTCCACTTGAATGCTTCGATTGACAAAGGTTATTATTTAGTTTGAGTCGTTTTGAACATTTTTTACATCAGTCGACTTTTTCGTTTTGGGTCATAAGGACCGCAGCGGACTGGAGAAAGTCTGGAGTGAGCTCGCGGTGCTTTGGGAGTTCAAGCCGCACCCACAAAATAAGTTGTTTACTTCTTTGGGAACGCAGTTGTTTTTGCCCGAAGCTGAAATGGAAATCGTTTTGAGAGCTTTTGCAAAACAGCGAAAAGAAACGAGAACTCCCTATTTTGTTTGATACAGCAATAATACATGTTCACTGGGTTTGCACATAGACATCACCTGCCCCCAATTAACAAGTTGTATAGTCATGCTTTTATAATTCATTCTAAGCTTTCCAGACCAGGACCACCCCACAAGAGGAGTTTTACATATCCAAATGACTCCAAATCTTTAAATCTGCCGACATATTTATTCAGTGGACACAATATTCACCTGCAGTGTTATAACTGTAACATTCTTTATGAAATGCAATTATGAAGACGAGTTTTTCTTCCTTTCACCGGTCAGTGCGCTTTTGAAGTCAAAGTCAGTCACAGTTGGTGCACACAGGCGACATTAACACTTGTGTCCTGTTATAGAAATGTATGCGAGTTTGTGATCTTTTTGAGATCGTGCAAAAAGCATTGTTCATGGGTCTAACCACGGGATATGACCATGTAAGAGACCTCCGCATAAGTCCTTAATCCTCTGATAATGTTCAGCCTTCACAGAGAATGATGGGAAAGTCTACGTGGATACAAGGAATGTCCAGTTTGATGATGCCCTGCAAGACAAACAAAAACAAATCCACCGACAATTAAGAAAGTTATCCAGAATTTAGCATCGGAAAGCTGCCTCTGGTCTGCGGCTCACCTGGGGAATTAGGTTTTTCTGTATCCTTTTTAATTTGGACTTTTTCCTGCCGTTTTTGGTCACGACGGTTTCTTCATAAAATTCATGAGCGAGGTCGCCGTCTTCGTCAAAGTACAAAGAGCTGAAAAAAGTGGAAAGAGCAGAGATAGTGGCGAGAAATGTTGAAATGATATTGTGAGTAAAGTTCAATGATAAAAGGCTTTGACACAGAACAGACGACAAAACAAAAATGTGATTTATTTCCTATGGATCCCCATTAGTTAGACCTTGATTGCTTACTGTGTTCCAGGTGTTTATTTAGAAGGGGTTGCTTATCCTGGAATGTATGAGTGTGTAATTGCCTAAGACACATTTCTATCACTATTAAGCATGATTAACAAAGTGATTAAAACACTTTCTGTTCTAGTCTCCCTGGGGTCCATTACCCAATACAATGATCTTCACAGAAATTATTGATTATTGAGAAATCTCAGAAACCAGAAATATTATATAGATTTGATTATATAAATTTTACTAAAGTAGTGTTAGTTTTAGTCATGGTTTCGGCAATCATATGAGTAGCACTACCACTAAAACATATGGACCAATCCTCAAATTTCTACATTAATTATTTACCTCCTTCTGGTAAAGACAAAGGGTGTTGCGTTTCGGGATCCTTTAAGTCGTGCCACAGAGGTCTCACTGCACTCAGAGGTGGTGTCTGCCCCAGGACTTGAGCTGGTGCCTTTGGACTTGGAGCCTCCCATCCTCCTCACTCACTGATAACAAGACATCACCAAGTCCCACACACAGGGCTCTTGACAGTCTCCTCTGAGGACGTCACAGCTGTGAAGTGATGAGGAGCATCAGACAAGGTTTAGAACAGCAGGCACATTAGATGGCAATAGGCCATGATGACTAAAACTAGGTCTCCTATTGTAAATTTTATTCCTCAGAAGTGTATGCTGATTTATCATGCCTTACTCTATTCTCTTTCTTCTGACTGTTGCACTGAGCCAAAGCAATTTCCAAGTCTGTGACTTCCTGTTACTTACGTGGCAATACAAATTATTCTGATTCTGAGGTGTTTACACTAGTATTGTGTTGTATTGTTTACTTACTTAATTCTTTGACTTATGTTTCAATGAATAAACCAGATACTCAACACATTACCTATTTTGATAGATCTGTTTTTAAAAAGCCATAAGCTATGACTATTATACAAAATAAAATTTAGATTTTAGAACAGTTCGATACAGCTCAAAATCCTCAGAGAACTGTCTGTGTAGAAATTAGTTTTGATACCGACTCAAGCAAGTCTAGTTTTGATATGACTTAACCTATGAATACATGATTTTAATACATTAGACCAGTGTCTCCCAAAGTGGGGTCCGCGGCCCCCTGGTGGGCCGCGAGGGTACTGCAGGGGGGCCGCGGGAGGTCATAAAAAAAATAAAAAAAATAATATAATTATTTAATGTTACATTTATAATGTTTTGTTTGTAATATTAAAATATTTGTGTTCATTATTTGACTTGAATAATCCACTGTAATCATTTTTGTATTACAATGTTTGTAGCAGAGGCTATTTCCCCAAAATAAAATAACCAGAAGAGCCTATTCTTAATGTTGTCTTCTTGGTTATTAATTTGGGGGGCCACGCAGACCCGTCAGATTTTTAAGGGGGCCTCGGTGTTACTGAGTTTGGGAATGGCTGCATTAGACGTTCAGCCGAATTTGAATCTATCTAAAGAAATTAATATACAAAAAACCCTGTCCAGGAATTTCCTACATTATCAAACGAACGATGAGGAGTGGCATAAGGAATTTCTACTTTATTAGAGAGTATAAAATCCACATTCATGCCAGATTCAATCCTAATATTTTCTTGTTAAGCAGTTCTGTCAAAAGGCAAATAAAAGTTGCTGTGTGTTAGACAAAGGTGTAAAATGTTCTTTAAACAGACAATGCCAATAACGACCTGGCCTGTGATTCTATGAATGAGAAACGCTGACTGCGAAGCCGAATATAATCTGTGGGAATTTGCGTTCATATTGATAATGTCAAATAAAATAGGTCAAGGCTTTACCGATGTGGAATTGCGAGAATACCGCGACAAAAAGGTTTCATTGTTCCCACGTCCTAGTTCAGATGCTGTTTAACATTTACTGTTAGACAAATACGAGGTTTGTACTTTCTCCACACAATACTGCGCTAAAGACGCTAACCCAGGCTGAGCCGTGACGCAGGTGTGCCAACTCTACAGCGGCTAAACACGCACTTTCACATCTGATCTCTGTATATCACGCACCAAATCCTATGTAAATACTTATTCTGTTGCATTTTGAGAAGTGATCTTAATGACATACCTTTATCCCTCTTAATGGTGCATGACCGCTGCTAGCCTGTTAGCTGTTTTGCTTTAGTGACCATCAGCTGATTGGGCCACTCGTCTTAAAGAGACAGACACAGGAAATCGAACAGCCTTGTTTTTTTTAAAGAATTTTGTTTCAATACATCTATGCAAATAATTTCGTCGGTGTGGAAAACATTTAAATCTGCAGCTAAATAATACCAGTTACCCTTTTTGCTATGTTTAATTTCCAAAATTGTATCCGTGGTTGCCAAATGACAATAGATAAAATGCTGTTATAACTTCTGTGTCCTTGGGAAAGACAGGTCATCCACATGATTCTGTTCTGGGTCTATGCTTGATTGGTGGTCGTCTCCAAATGTATCAATTCTGTTGTGTCCTATTTGCATGAATTGGAAATATTATGTCACAACAGGATGATCTTAGTAGTCAATGATGGGGTAAAAATAATACAAAATCTTGTGAGAGAATGCAAATAATCCTTTACTGATTGTAAAAGACAGTATTGGCACAGATGGATTTTGCTAAAACATGTAAATATGTGCATAGTAGAAGAAACTGAAAAAGGAGACATTTAGTAAAAGAACATTATAAAGATGATATTGACAAAGGACAATGAAAGATTGAATCGAGTCACGATATTGTCATTCAAACCAGGGTGTAACATTTCTCTCAGACGTGCATGACAGCATACAAATGTCCACACAGTCGTTCTTCCAAATCAACTGCTCAAAAATGTAAAAAATAATTAAAGTAATAAAACCACAGAGTTGAACCCATCGGGGGTATAGAGAGGACATGGCAATAACAGAGAAAAGCTGGGTTTCTTTTAGTTTGTCTTCTATTGGCATTAAATTAGAATCTTTTGTGACCCCAAAAACGTATAGTGAGTGATGATTGTTAGGGTTTGTCATTGGCAGCAAAAAAATGGTGGCTGAAGGATCATGAATTGGGAAAGCGTAATAATTAGAGAGATGAATATGAGTCATTATTGTGATTCAAATTATATTTATTTCTAATTCTTCTAAAAAAGGTATGTTGGAATGAGTTTGTTATTTCATATTTTTTATACTTTGGTAAAAAAAATGTATTAAGATTTTTATCTTGTATTTAGTTGACTATAGGGCTGCCGCTAACATTATTTAATTTGATAAGTCGCCTAGTTGACTAGTCATTGTAGGCATGATAATTATTTTTATATTGTGTAAATAGGGGCTTTAATATAATGCAATGATATGTTGATAAGTGAAAGACAAGACTAAATCCAGCATTAGCTCATGTGCCAGTCCTCGTCTGTCCTCAACTCTCTCAGGCACTTCAGACTCTCCAGGTGTAAGGCACTTCACTCGCACAGTTCGCGCCCGCCCTGTCTCTCTCTCTCTCGCACTGACTCGCGCACGCTCACTCGCTCAGTCACCGAAGAGGCGATTTGACTTGGTCTCTCTGGGATCTTTGGATGCAGCTGCGACCGGGGACTCCAGGCCGTAGGCACACGTGTAAAATCCCGGCGGGGAGCGGTGGTTTCAGCCCGGGGTGGAGCCGCTCAGGGCGCCCTGCATCCGTGTGCGCGCCAGGGTGTAACGCTGCATGATCTGCTTCACGTGCTCCTCCTCCTCACGCTGAAGAATGCGCAGGAAGTTCTTCAGCTCCGGCATAGAAAAGGCGTGCCACTGTGAGAGGGACAACAACAATTTAGTCAGGTCAATTTTTGTTGAACTTAACAAAAAAACAAACAGTGGAGTAACACCAATGCTGCTTTCATAAAGTCCCCTGGCTCTCTCGCCTCATAGTTTGATTTTATATTTTGGGAGATCTGACTTTATGTTAAATGTATGTAGTATGGTTAGGATTTGTGTACCACCATTAAAACATATTTTTACTACTACTTTGACGCCTTTTGGTTAACCCTTTATGCCTCAAAGTAGCTGAAAAGTTACATGAGCTCCTGAGTTGGCAACCTTGCTTCTCACAGACGTTTCCCTAAATGTGTCTTGCATCACTTTCTACGGGGTTAACTTTCATTAAGACAATATACATAATACAAACACAAACACAAAAGAATAGCATCAAATATTTTCATATTTGTACGTTTCCTGTGGGTGCTCAACAGCTTCAAACCCTTTCAGATTGAAATAGCCATCAGGCTCCGAAACAGACTAATGCAGACATAATGCTGGTGATGCATTTTCACAGCAAGGCGGGTGGTCTGACCATAAACTCAGCCAGACATTTAACAGGGAAGTAATGATCATTTGTACTGGCTTAATAACATCTTTTCCCCTTGCAAAAAGTGTAACAATGAACAAAAAATACTTTACACGGCTATTAGTAAAGTCTGCTCACATTGACTTCTCCAGTTTCATTTTCCTTCAAGACAAAACTCAGCAACTTCTCGTTAGGTCCAGCAGTGAGTCGCAGACGCAGAGGTCGCTCATCATCAGACAGCTTACGGACATAAACTGGAGAAGAGAATGAAGACACAATTCATAAAACACAAACAAAACTAGACAGTCGATACATGCTTGAATAAAGAATTTCAATATATTTTAGACAATATGGGGGAAAGTTATTGCAATTTTTTGCTTCTGGAACAAGAACGAAGTGGGTCGGGCTTCAGAAGTTCTTAAGACTAAACTTATAGTGGTTTAATTGGAAAAACCATATCCTTTCAAATGAAAATAAACGTTGTTCATTCATTATAGTAAAATTAATGAGAAATGCAAAATAATCATGTGGTCTCAAGAGATCCATTATTTGTCCCACAGTGGGGAAATTTCAGTGTTGCATCACCAGTTACAGAACAGTAGGAATGAGTAGCACACGATAAATGAACAATACATAAAATCTCTAAAAATCTCAATCTCTCATCAAAAATAAACGAGTACAAAACCTATCTTTAGCATACTGAGGAAAAACTCTGACTTTAACAGAATTATCTATTTAGTTATTTTGAATGGATGCATGTGTTTCTGTTGTTTCTGGGGATCAATAAAGTATCTATCTATAAGTATAACATCTTTACCTTTGGCAGAATAAGAATCAAGGAGTGTACTGTCTCAAATACCTTGGTCGTGCCGTTCGCTGCGCTCGAACAGTGCAAACTTTCCGGGATTGTCGACCACAGTGAACTTCTTGAGCAGAGCCTCAATGACCTGGCGGGCCGTGGTGCGTGAGCTGATGTGCAGATGCTTGGAGGCGTCTTTGGGCAGGTAGAAGGAGGTGCGGCGCTTCACCCCTGCAGACCGCCTCACACTCTCTTTCTTTGGAGGAGGGACGGAAACGGGCCTCGCCAATTTAAACTGCACCTTGATGAAACCCGCGTAAGAGCCATCCTTATTCTGAAATATCAAAATAAATATGTTCAAATGTACTGTGGCAAATTTCACTCAAATTGGACATAAATGGTCATCTTAGAACAACATGAGTAAAAATCACTCACCATATTCATGAATAAATTGCTGTTGATCTGTGCGTTGTATTCCTTCACTTTCTGCTGAATTTCAGGAATGGTCAACTCCGGCTTCCCCAATTCAGTCTGTTCATCCTAAACAAAGAGAAGTTATAAGTTAATACCACCAGGTGTCAGTGTTGTTCCACCTCCTTGAGCAACAAGCAAAGCTCAAAGATTTAACATGTTGAGTACAATTTACCAAATCGATGGATATGGTTTCAATACGGTGATGGAGGCTTGCACATATAACATATACGTCACTACATCTTGATAAAAACTAAAGCATTGCTGGGATTACTTTTGTTGGTAAAATTACTGTCTACATTCATTGTTTTAGTTGGAGATTAACAGATTATACCAATAAAATACTTTTGATTTTATGTTATAGGAGTTTGCAGATAAAAATCCTGATTCTATGGCGATATCATTAAACCTCCAGTGTAATTATATAGTATCGATACTATATAAAGATAGATACTTATAAAATGTTACAAATTGATGAAATTATACATGTTGATACTTCTTTAAAAACAAAATCACACTTGTTGCATCAGCGGCTAAACTTCCTGTGAGTGTAATGCAGGCCAAAACAATGATGTCACTTCTCCCTTATCCCCCTGAGCTTATCCCTCGCACTAATAAGGGAGGGAGAAGGGAGATAGTGAAAACTTGCAGCTGTCTGTACCAACTCAAACCAACGACTATGCAGCATTCCACAAGTTGGTATTCATGTAAAAATAGCCTCACTCTTCATGGGCTCACACAGGCGGTGGGCAGACAAAGCCCTCCCTTGTTTTAAACTGACATCCTGTGTAGTCAGCTGCCCAGTCACGCTTCAGTCATGGACATTTGGCCTGGAGCATCTGTAGGTCTGTTACGCCAATTAGGCATTTCCTACAACTACTCACCAATGGCATTACTCCATTCTACAAGTTTACTGAAAAGAATTGCCACAGAATTGGATGAATGACTGCAAGCTATGATGACAAGCTGCTATGTACTATGCATTGGCTGCAGTTGGAAAGCCATCTGATTTGGATTTTGTTGACATTTCCAGTAAAAATGAGCATTGCCTTATGCTCATTAGAAGGTCAATCGTCTTGCTGTTCCCTGTGGGAGGTTGAAGAAGTTGCTTTCTCCCATTTTGCTCCTCGTAAATGGAGTGTCTGGTCTAATTTGCTCCGACTCTGTACCCTTATCTCTTCATGCTTCGTGTTTTTTTTGTACACTTGTTGCAAAGTGCATCAACTGACAGTCCTGTATGAAATGCGCTATAAAATGTCTTCTTGTTGATTGTTTTGAGCAAGATAAAAAGATGTTTTCATTTGTATGTTCAAGGTTGAAAGAAATGTGAATCATATTAGCAATGAAGGTGTCTTAACTCAATGTAATAAACAGCAAGAATTGTATCAGGTATCAACCGAGCAGAAACCAGGAGACAGGAAATAAATGTTGTAGTGTGTCTTCCAAGAAGTTTAAATGCCATTTGGGGCCTCATTAGCAATATAGCGAGTGTGCAGGCCAATTCCAAAGCTGCAGACTGACTTTAAGCACCCCTATTTAACTAGTCAAATAAATCAATAGTGGTGGAAGGGCTTTTTGTGTTATGGCAATTGACATAAATGCTGTGCCTTAGCATGTTCACTAAGGAGTACCGGGTCTCCAAAATAATCTATTTGATTACACCCCATCTGTTTTAATTTTACGCCAGCGGGACAACACCTAGAAAGAAAAAAATAAGAATTTGCTAAATCTCATGACTCATTTGATGAAAAGATAAAAACAATCTGACAAGGGAAACAGTGGTAGGTGTAAGGAGAGAAATTTGAGATGAGGGCCTTCGTCACATAAAACCATAACACGGTTGTTCACACCGTAAAGTTATGTGGGTGGGCGCGCCTACTACTGGTTTCCAACATGTTTCCACACAATGATACCTTTCCCATGAGTTGCTGGGACATTTAAGTTAACCTTATTTGACAGAAGTTTATTTGTTCAGTAACAGGAAGAACAACTCCCCACGCACTGATATAGAACCATGTTTGAACATACTTCCTCTTTGGGCCTTAAAACTAACAAAACTAAACCCTGACAGCTAGTTTACGTCATCCTAAGTAAATGGCCTACTTCAGGGACACGTGAGGAAATAGGACTCGAAATAAATATCATCTAAAAATGGGCAGGCAGCTAATTCATGTGTAAAGATGGTAGCAATGCAGTCATGAAGTATTCAAGCACAGCAGATATTTTTGCAGTGTGTATTTCATTGAGGTTTGTCTTTTATAGTTTATTTTGGGAAAACTATGGTGAAACTGCAGTAGTTACTTTTTGCACTTCCCGTTAATTTACATTTCATTTTAACACAATATTTCACTGTTTGAGATTTGGCGCTCACCTTTTTGACCACAAGATTTTCAGATTTCTTGGGTTTGGGGAAGAAAGATGTCCGCGCTGTGAAGTATTGCTCAAACTCTGAACACTCGGACTCTTCGTCACTGCAGTAGCCGCTGCTGGTGGAGCTGCCCCAGGTCATCTCAAAAGAAGGGCTTTTATCTTCGCACTTTGCCATTTTTTCTCAAAATAAAGTACTTTAACAGACCGAAAATGACTAAAAGCGAACCTAAGTTAGTGTATATCTTCTCAAGCGGACTAGACTAAAACACGGGAGATCGCAGTCCTCACAGAGAAATGTGCTTTAACTTGACTGCTGACGCTGACGCTAACAACGAGTGCTCGGCAACAATGTATCGCAATAAAACTTTATCAGAAGACGCCGCTAAACGCGCAAAATCTGTTTTCTCGCGGGCCACGTTAACTCTGGCTTGTACAAAGTGTGTGAAACAGGATGTCAGCCGGCCCCCGCCCTTCGCAGACGCGGCTTCTCTCGCCTCATGTCCAAGCTCCTCCCAGACCGTTGAGTTGGAACTTTAGAAAATACACAAACCAGCCAAACCGGTCGCCATTGGACGACGAGCGGAAATACCAATGATTTCACTTCCGCATTGCCCCCTGCCCAAGACCCCCCCTGCTGGGCCATGATGCTGTGAGGCTGCAGTGCGCATGCGCCTCGGACATGCACAGTGGGAATATGATGGGGTAAAAGCAGCACGTGAGCTGTAATGTTCCTCAAGGGTGCTGCAAATAAGAGATACGGATCTAACTCCTGGTTTACCAAAGCTGGGACCAGTGTTGGAGTTACTTTTGTAATATGTGGCACCACCTGTGTGTGAAAGCCGGATCCCATCAGATCTCTATAGCTAAGCAGGGCATGACCTGGTTAGTTCAGTGATGGGAGATCTCTGGGAACACCAAAGTGCCAAACAGTTCTTGTGCCCTTAGGCAAGACACTTCACCCACTTAGTCCGTGTGTTGGTGAATGTTCGGTGGTGGTTGGAGAGGCTGCTGGCACGTACTGGGAGGATAATCCTGGGAAGGATATTTGAGTGTCCAAAAACTATAGTACCACCTCACTGACTAATTGTTTTTCTGCTATCACAGGATTTGTGTAAAACTATTTATGAAAGTACAGTATATTTATTCTCCGTAAAAGTAACCAAATGCAACCTTTTTTTTCATTTACTAATGAAATGCATACATCTTTCTGAAATCAACCAATAATCTCTCTAGTTAAATACAGCTCAATATTATCATAATTCATCTTCATTCAAGCCCAATTAATATAAGGATCTTCCAACAAAAAGCTTTAAGATATGGTTTAAGCTATGGTATTTCATTACCATAAGGTAAGACTCAGGAAAGGCTAAACATCTTAAACTGTCAGTCAAGCAGCATAGGGAGTCAGTTTGCTGGGAGAAGTATGGTAACTTGAGCACTATCCTCTCCTCCTTCCTACTTTATCTGTTTAGCATTATTAGGATTTTGACTGTAGTCTATTCATTGCTATTCCCTCGTTGTCCCATTGTCTGTTTCATGGTACGACGACGTGACCTCTGAACCTGGCCTCCTCCATCTACACCTGCAGATTGCCCTGCCCGACCCGCCTGGGAGTTCTTCAGTCCTACACCGGACCTGTCCACGTTCTGCGGCCGCTGCGCGGCCCGTGTCCACGCTCTGTAGCTTAGGTTCTGGATCTATATTCTGTCCGTCCATCTGGAGCGGATTCCTCTCTCAATATGTGGGTCTCCCTGAGGTTTCTCATTTTTTTCCCACAGGGTTTTTCTTGAGTTTTTCCTTGCCGATGCAGGAGGGAACTTTAACATTCTACAACATGTATGGACATTTATCAACATGTGTTCTATATTCTTTTTGTGTCTTAACTGTTGATTCTCTGATCTGTGTTGGTGATTTCAATAGTTTTGTTAAATCCTCTGAGATGACTACTGTTGTGATTTAGGGCTATACAACAATCAATTGTATTGTATCGTGCCATCGTGCTTTATCTTAACTCAACCATTTCTAAATGGAACACATTGCTTGAAAAGAAAATCACATTTCTAATAGATGCAATTGGTAACAACAAGACAATTCAGCATTCACCATAGTTTCTATTAAAGTGGAATATACATTCATTTTGTAATGCATTTGTAAATACAATGTCAAAGTAATAAATAGTTTTTAAAAAGAGCATCGGGGTTGCTAAAAACCTGTGTCCTTTACAGAGCGGCCGGAACACTTTTATAATGAATGTTAAAACAGAAACGTGTTTTCAAATCATATTGAAGTCTGACAGCACAATACTGAGCTCTACAGTATCTATAATGTTATTGACCTTGTCTATTTGTTTAATTTCCTCTTATTCAAGCAGTTTCAAAGGGGCCTTGTTAATAATTTTCATTGCAATAAACATTGTCATTTTTCTTTTCTTCCTTGTACTTGCACTGAACCAGAATTAAACATTACTTTCAATTGAACTATTATTGAATCGAAAACCTTGCTAGTCCATCATATCCTGCTCCTTTTGTAAATCTTTTCATATGGTCTGTGATTAGAGATGCATTGACTTTCTGGTAGAGTTGTATAGGCTCAATCTGTGAAAATGTCATTGTTGTAGAGCCACATTTGCATCAAAGTAGTTATCAGAGCTTCACTATTCTTCTAAGTACGTTGAAATATTTTGACTGAGTATTATACGTGTAATGTTAAACAAACTGCAAATTCTACAGTGTAGCCGGAGTAAATTCAGCCTCACTACTCGAACGAGGGAATAGCAGTTGTCTCAAAGTCACAGTAACTTTTGTTTCTGTTAGTTTGATCCGGGCAGCTGTGACAATAGTTTACCATTTAAGTGGAGAGTAGAAAACATCTTTTAGCATCTTTGAGTGTTGAAAATAAAGTATTATGTTCCTGTTATATACAAAAGACTACAATGGAAAAAACTTCTATATTACTACACAAAGAATGTACATTAATAATATCTAATGATGTATTTCAGCGCTTTCAAAATGTGGGTCTAGTGGCATCTACTGGTTTCCACTTTGAAGAAAATAATTTCTTGTGGATGAAGAGGACTTTAAACAGCATATTCAATCTCTTCAGAGCTTCCTTATTTACTGAGGTTCATTTTTTCTCAACATAGATAAATACCTTGTGGAATGATAGAGCTGACACACATAGGGATCCTTACCACATTTGTGTCCGTTTCTATTGAGTGCTCAATGACGGTTGTATTTTCGCACAAAGAGCCCTGGTCCCAAATGCAGTCCAGCTGAATCAGGGGCTGGCAGCGGTAGTGGCAAGTGAACTTACAATCTGTGGGAAATAAAGACACTTTGACTTCAAACATGTCTGCACAGATGGTAACAAGCTGATGATGAACTAAATTGCGTTTTTGTATAAGTCAGTGGAGAAGCAATTCATTTTAAAATATAAATATAAAGCCCATGATAAGTTTAATGTCCTGCGTTGGAACATTCTATCTACATCCCTATAAGATCTCCATGGAGACAAAATGTGACATGTTGCTCTTTATAAACTGTATCTAAGCATTGAAAGGTATGACGCCATCTTGTGTTCAGTTGTGAGCCCTGCACTGTGATTAAAGGCCGGGAAACTCGAAATACACAGTTCAATATAGTAATAATTAGAAGCGTCAAAACCAGCTAAACAAATGTTTGATCTAATATCTCTTATTTTAAAATGATTAAAAAAAGGTTTGTATCAAAAACATTGGAACACTTTGGAATCACTGATATAAAATACCAACGCTCAAGTCTAAATATTCTTGAACATTTAATCTCGATAAATTTTTCAGGCCTTGTAGCTTAATCAGTTTTTATGCTTCTGACCATCTTCAAGGACAAGCTTTTCTAAGTTCATTATTGTGAAGAATGTTTATTAAAAGCTAAGGGAATGAAGGTGCATTCCAGATCTTCTGGTTTTTCTACAGTCCATTGCATTACACTCCTATGCCCTAAAATCAATTTGGGATAAAAATGGCCGCTTTAAATGTAATAGGAATATTAAAAGTATTTGTCATCGCTATATTGCTGTATTCACTGAGATAGTTGTAGTCACTTAATTTAGAATATTTATCAGATTATTTGTCCTATCTAAATCCTGTGGGGAGCTACTTGGAAGGTAGACCCCTGGCATTGGTGTACATAATTTGTACACTGAAACACCAGGACATAACCTTTTGTTTGCAGTTCATAGTCCGCAGCAGTTCTTTTTTTCAGTTAATTTAGCCTCTTTTGTCCATTTCAGTGTTTTTGAAAGGTGAAAGGAAAGAATGGTAAGGCTGATTCAATAAAAACAGCGAGGACTGCAGGTGGAAATTAGCTATGTATATAATCTAGTGAAGAGCACTCTTGCGTCTTGAGTGTCTTTGATTCTAATGTTGCTGTGCACTGTCCTCCAATGAAAAAGAAAAAAAAAAACCTTCAAGAAGCACTGATCTTCAACATTATCCTGGTGCTCCATTGGGACTGATCAGAATTAGTGAACACATGCACATCTAACTTCAAAGCCCTATACATACAATCCAGGTATCAAACCAATGTACATGTTTAATCTGCTGGTATGTACATTACCAGTTCTACTTTCTTGGTTTTTACTTAAATTTTTTTGTAAACAATTTGATTAAGGACATGGCATTGTTTTAGATAAAAACCATGAAAAAGTTGGTTCATAAACAAGCAATACTATATACATTCAATTTTACCCTAAACTTACATATCTGTGTAGCGTTTCATTATAGTGCAGTGTTCATAAGAGTTTCCAAAGTAACAGCAATAAGAAAGGACAAAGAAATGATAAGTCTATATGGCAAGAACCACTGTTGGCATAGGAGAACAGGACAGTGGCCTAATGGTAGCTATACCGGCTGCAATATTGATCATAACCTCAAAACGGGAAAGTCCTTGGTATTAAAGTATTTCTGTGTGATGTCGTATCCATGTCTGTGGGTGACCTGGTTTCTCTTGGCAATAAACAATAAACATTTGCACTCACTAACACGCATCTATCATAACCTCAAAACGGGAAAGTCCTTGGTTTTAAAAGTCTTGCTGTGTGATTTGCATGCTCTATCTGTGCCTGTGGGTGATCTGGTTTCTTTTGTCAATAAACAACAAACATTTGGACTCACTAACACAGCGTAGACTCTGCTTGTACAGGCCCCAGATGAAGTCCCCACACAGGTCACACCAGGTGGGCTGCGTGTGGCTGCAGGGCTGGAAGTTGTGTCCCTCTCCCCTCTCCTCGAGGGTCTGAGGGTCGCTGCTGCTGCTGAGGACCCTGATGATACCCACCCGGCTCAGCAGATCTGGCACTTTACCCGCACTGATCCTCAAAGCATTCGTCCTCTCCAGACGCGGGGGTGAACATGGAGAACGTGATCCTGTCAGATCGATGCGGTTTCTGTCTGAAACCATGTCCCTGAGCTCAATCAACTCTCCCACAGACATGATCGGAGCAGCAGGTCAAGCGGCCATCGTCTACGAGAAAACAACACATTATTAGTGCAACTACATCGTACATGTCAAGATGTGAAACCAGTAAGAGTCAGGTAAGCTATAGTGTATATATCTGACATTATTATATCTGATTTGCCAGTGGAATGAGTTTTCCTTGCAAGCAATGTTACAAACTTTTTAGCAAAGTGGAAAATTGCTACTAGTTTTTTGGGAACCTTTAAACCCTGATTATAATACAATGCAGTATATTTTAGGGAAGTAAATTATAGAGCAGCTGGGCGATATGGCTGAAAAATGTATGACGATAAAAGGGTTTCATATCAGTAGATAATTATTGATTCCTTTTAATTAATTTTTTTTTATCTTAATATAAAATATCTTTGAATAACCTTTAAATTAAGTCAACATTATGAAACACAGTCAAATAAGTAAAAACACATATTTATTGCAAATGTAGGCATTAAATAAATGTTCAATCCAACAAAATTAAGGTATAAATGCGAGGACTGCAGGGAACTTATGAGAATGTCTGGTGGCCTTTTTCCCACAAACAATACCATAAATGTGTGGTTTGAGAACCTGAATACACAAAGCAGACTCATCTCTGTCATCATCATCTGACTCAATGCAGCCTTATGCTTATGCTCATATAACACAATATAATCATTGTAAGGCTGTAAGCAATGAAACATCATAGACCAATAATCAACTGTTCAAGCCCGACTGAACAGTGCTATCTTCGTTACACACAAGAACACAGTGTGCCATACATTTGTGACAAGTTTGAATCATATCCCACAGTCAGATGGGGATGAGAGGACCCCGCTGCAAAACACGGATTACATAACCGTCTTAACCTGTTCTGCGTACTTCATTTACCTTTTCCTACTAAACTATGGTTGCACTTTTGGGATAGTTTGAAAGTACACTACTGGACTCAGCTCTTTCATGTACGCGTGGCTTTTTACAATGGACCTTCTATGGACGCGCTCTGGAGACGTACGCTATCGACGCACTGTATCTAAGCAACGGAGCCTTTGGAAAAGAGTGCGTAAAAGTAAACTCGAATGTAAAGTTCAAAGATGCTTACCAAAAGACGCGTGCACGTATCTCGTCGTCCCTGTCAGCTCAAACTATGGCTCAGACCCTCCATGGAAAAAAGTTTGTCTCCAGGCGCGGTAGATGCAGGGAAGCCCGTTACATCTTGGAGATTATGCAACTTCAAAGTCAGTCCGCGAAAAAGTAACAGAACGTCACGTAAACACGCTTTAGATCAATCATTTGCAGTTTTTATGCGAAGAGGAAGTGTGTGGTGAAAAAGATAGAGATGAGCTGCTGACATCCGGAGTGTAACAGTGGCGAAACCGAGCCCAGAGACCGGAGCAGCTGAAGAGGCGTGAGGCCTCCACCCCCAAACCACAGTCGACTAGAAACTCTTCATGATCCAAGAGCTCTGGCAAGAGTCAAGAGCTCTGATTAACACATTACACCCATATACTCTCGGCTTATTGTTTTATTACAGATTAACACAAAAAGAAAAAAAAGGAAAAAATGGTCCCACTGATGTTGGTGATTAACTTGTTACTGTGGTGACAATGAATATATTTGTCAATACACTGTGTCAAAAGTTACTTTTAGTCAACAACAACAATTACACTAATAGTAGTAGTCTTGTTGCTAATACTTGCAACTATAGAATTATATTACCAATGCTATTTTTTTCATTTGTAACAGTAGTTCTTCCGTAGAGTTCAACTTCACAGTATTACACAGCATTACAGTAGGCCTATCTCTTTAGTCCCATAACCTTTCAGCTCGAGACTCACTGGTCTTCATGGAGACACTGACAGGTTAGATCACTGGAGTAAGAATCTAGGTTTTTAAAGGTATTATTTCAGTGGTGAATTGATTACATTGTTAATAAACCAGGGCTGCTGCGTGGTTCTGGATCTATAGACGATGCTGGAGGGCCTGTTGGACAGTTTGAGTCTACAACATGTATGGACATTTATCAACATGGGTTCTATATTCTTTATGTGTCTTAACTGCTGATTCTCTGATCTGTGTTGGTGATTTCAATGGTTTTTTTAAGTCCTCTGAGATGACTTTTGTTGTGATTTAGGGCTATACAAGAATGTATTGTATTGTATAAAGGCTGTAGAGTTTTATGTTTGTATCATGTGATTGTGTGGAGCACCAAAATAAAACAATGACAACTCAAAAAAGTTCACGTGTATAATAACAAAGATCCCCCCCAGCCCCTCCCCCATCTCAAACCATAAGATGACGGTCTCATGTGGCCCATCCTTTCAGCATGTCCCTTGAAATTTCTCAGAACAATCAACAATGAGGTGACAGGTTTTCTTGTGCTTGGGCCAATGCTTCACTTGACATTCCCTGTAAAGAAAAACAGAATTTCATTATTATAAAACACATAACCTTTTCAAACCACCTTGAGCCCACCTGTTACAATATCTCTCTGCTTGACACCGGGAACATTTTCTTGTAGCCTCTCCTCCACACCATCCACATTTGGGTTTCTCTGGAAGTAGGTTCTCCATCACTTCTAGATTGTACGTCTGAGCCAACCTAAAGCAAACACAGACTTATCAAGTTTAGGGGAAGGTATGCGTTTTCAAACTGCTGAAATAATGCAACACATATTTAACACTACCTCTCTGCTTGTTGCCTCAGTTCACTTGCAGAAGGACTGAAGGTCTCTTTCACTTGATATTTGGCGATTGCTTTGTATTTCCCCTGGTTTTCAGTTTCAATGTGATTCAAAATGACAGGTATCTGCTCATGATGACATAATAAACATATGGATAAAGTTATATTAGTTTATTTTTAACGTGGTATAATTTTACACCAGACAGACCTAAGGTGAATAGATAAGTCTAAATTGAATAGTGACTTAAAATGTATATTTATTATGCACCTGTTCCAGTATGAGTCCCCTTTTTGGAGGGGCAGGCTCTGTGGTGGAAAGATGAGCCAGAAAGCGTTGCAGATGCATGAGGGCCGGAAGCTGGTCAATGAGCTCTTCGGTCATAAAACTCATCAGCTATAAAAGAAACATTCAAGTAAAAAAGAAAGAAGGATTTTCTTCATTTAAGACTGTGGGATGCTGCCTCATTCGATATTATTTAGTAAATCCTGAAGTGGCAAATGCAGAATGTAGTATCTCTATCCAATGTATTTCATAGCTTTTCAAACCATATGTTGTTTTTTTATTTGTATTTGTTGTTTTTAATGTGTGTATTGCCTATTTTCTATTACCCATTCATTTACTGGTCGAGCTAATTTGTGCTGCTTTGATTCATTGTTTTTATGGTCCTATTTGCAGCAAGAATATGTAATAAATAAATATGTATTGAGATAATGTACTATTACTTGAGAACTTATTTTGACTACCCTCCCCACCTCTATGGCAAGTGTGTGATTTTTGTTGTGAATCTGGTGTGCAGATATTATCTCGCAATAGTGGCTGCACTAACATGAAACTGTGACTATGTATAAAATGTGGGTAAAAAAGAGTGAGACAAATGCCCACAATTGTAAACCGCAGTATATAAATAAAGATCGCATACTTACTTAAATATATGTAAAACTGGGTGTATAAATTCAAGTGACAAAACTTATGCTTTGCTTCAGTCCAAAATGTATTTAATTTAGATGTAATTCTCAATTCTCTATTTTGGGGTCTATTTGCTATTTCTACTATTGTGCATTTTTAATCTAATTCGGACTGATCTTTTTCCCTTGAATTGACTGATATGATTTTGAGCAATGGCGATTCACACAGTATATACTGTAGCTGGTTGTATAATCAAAGACATAGGAAAAGGACAAGGAGCCATGAAATAATTGAAGGAAACGCCGTGGTCTAAACAACCCGTGTCATAACAAGGGAGAGGATCCGATCTGCTCCTCATGGACAAAGATCTGGCACTGGAACACTTCCTGATCAACTGCCTAGTGTAAAGTCAAGCTTCTGCCCAGCGAGGGGCACACAACACGTCTGCTGATTTTGCTTGTTTTGTTTTTTTACTGTAACTTACTACCAAAATATGTATTATACTATGGCTATTATTCTCTAAATGTAAGTAGGATTTTGGAATTCGTTTATAGTCAACATTTCAGATTAACAAAGTCAAATTATTCAGAGTAATGATGAATATTTGTATATTCATTTGGAACATGGATCAGCATTGTCATTTCAAGTCTAGAAATAAATCAAAAGAGAAGAAGCTGGCGACACACTTGTAGTTATTTGCAAATGCTATACTGTTTCAGACTTTGATTGTACCTATGGAAATATGTGGGGAAACCTTAAAGGTAAATAGTAGGATTTTCTACTTCCGGGTGGACCATCAAGACTATTGTCCTCCTAATTGTCAATCATTCTGGGGATACGTGCTCTTCAAATAAGATCAGAGAGTTTTGTCATGGTTTTTTGTACTTAAGTCTTGCTTCTTTAAAAGTTGAAAATTTTAAGACTTCCTTCCTTATTATGCTAAAGATATAGATTTTATACTGCTTTTTATGCAAGAGTTGCAGATTATATTTCATTTTAGTATAGAGTTATTATTAATTTATCTTGTGCTGTGTGCTCCTCATTCCTACTATTCTGTAACTGGTGAAGCTATACTGAAAGAAATAATCTCTTAATTTGAGTATTTTTATTTTATGTTTTTGTCCAAATAGGTATAATATTAATATAATATAATAGTACAATACAATAGTATTAGTAATATAACAGTATAATAGTATAGCATAAAACTTATAATAATAAGTATAAAGGTTCCTATCATAGTCCCTCATCAAATAGTATAAGATATTAGACCCTCAAAGTTGCTGCTTTTAACTTTTAACAAAACATTACACAGTGTTTCAGGTGAATAAGTAAATTTTGTAAGTGAATTGTCCACATTTTTTGGTTGATAGGTTTCTTTCAT